ATGAAACCGTACTGTGAACCACTACCTCGGGAAAGAGAGTGAGTAGCTCATCTGTATCGGTCTTAAAGGTTGCGAGTTATAGCATAGACCACTATTAGACGAAGCTTGAGTTCCAGAAGCAGCTTGGCACACAGATGTACAGAGTGAAAATGAATGTGGCCCTACGCTAGCTTCGTGTTGATCTAGCAGCTCTACAGGCTCGTCTAACTTGTTGGTCATGCGCGACTGAAGTGCAGATGAAGTTCGCACAGCGGGGAAAGAACTCACAAATCTCAAATGAGTAGCGCGTCTGATGTTGGAACGCGACTGTCGCTTAGATGGAAATGGCGACTTAAATGTGGTTTGGCGCAACGAAGAAGTGCATGGGCTCGCGTACTAACAGCGAGGTAGCGAAGAACGCACTATTTCCTCGAACTGGACGCGCCTGGGTGAAGGAAAGCGCTGATGGAATTGCGCAAGCGGGTACGACGGATAGGGCGCTGATGGTGACGTAGCGCATAAAGCTGGATGATGTAACCTGCCACAATACTTGCACGCTGGAGCTCTGCAAATACTAAAAATGTGACCTTCTTCGAGACATAGCCAACACAGTCTATACTGGTTGACAAGCTGTCTCCTCTGTTGCACGTCTGGTGATATGGTACAACACTCCGAAACATGTCCATAACGACGACAGAAGGCACAGCGAGGCTCCCATGGTGTGGTGTACTGTGGTCTGGCAGAGCTACATAGTTCGCGCCGCGGGTAGTAAGGTGTCAAAGGTCTATGAATGACGTCGGGATATCCAGATGGTGGGCACGAGCTATGCGCGTACTGAGGGATGTTGTGGCTGGTACGGGAGGTACCTCACATACGGCTGGCTCGTGCTAGGACATCTGTGCGGGAAAGCAGAAAGCTGGCGAACCGTAGAATCCCAGTTGTACGCACGGTGACTTGCAAGGTCGGACTCCTCTTCCACTTGTAATCTATCAATAACCGTACCTAGGGTTGTCAACAGCTCGTCCACAGTCCACGAAGTGTCACCTTCGTCTTTCAGTTCGCTGACTCTCTCGCGCGTACACCAGGGAAATTTAAAACGAATCGTCCTTAACGTAGCGATCGAACTGGAATTCTCATTCACTTTCTTCATCTGGTACCAAGTCTCCTGCAGCGCGCGAAGTGTAGCGCGTTGAGAATTTGCAGAATCTAATGCCGGTGGTTGCTGTATCAACTTGTCCCAGAGACGACTTTTCAAGATTTCAGGACGATCGTACGTATCGAGTAAGGTGCGTACTGCAGTGTCGTAATTCTTGGCCGTTGGCTTCAAGCCTGCGATGACTCGGACAGCATCTCCTTCGAGGACCGACTTCAAGTACATAAACTTGACTACTGCCGAGACGGTGTTACTGTTATGCACGGCTGCGGAAAAAATGTCCCAGAATTCGGAGAATGCTTCGATGTCGCCGTTGAAGATTGGGATCCCATAAGAAGGCGGCTTTACGGGTTGCTCCAAGGGAGAAACAGGGTTAGGGAGTGAAAAGGTTGAAGAGGGGGGGTTATGGGGTTATGCAAAAAGGGATTTGGCGAAGATTTTGGAAGCCCCAGTGGGAAATGCAAAAGGTGGGTGAGATTCGAGGGAGGGTTACCCGAAGAAGAGCCAAATCCACCCGAGGGTTGCACGCCATCACGGCTCGCAAGGGAACGCTGGTCAGCGCGCGCTGCAATGGGATCAGCTGGACGATCCTGGGCCTGCGACGGAGAATGAGGGCCGGCTACCTCCTCCGCCTGTTGCGCGGGCTGATAGGGCAAAATAGGATCCTGGGCGGTATGGGGAGGTGAACTGCGCGACGAGGATGGAGCAACAGATGGTACAAAACACTGATGAGGGCCTCCCAAAATAGAAAGGTGTTTGATCGCTGAATCCAAGCGAACGAGAAGAGCATCCACTTCCTCCAGAATACCATCCATCCCACCAGTTTCCCAATGGGCATGGATGTCCGAAAGGAAAGGGAACTCTCCGCGCTCGTCGGGATTCCGCCGAGCAAACTCTTCGGCTTTCTCCAACTGGCCACGTAGGGCAGAGGCAGCACGACTGACAGAAGAAATCGAAACAAAAAGTAAATTCAAACGATTGAAAATCAAATGTGGATCTTCACTCGCCTCCGAAGCAAGGTCCACAAAATCAAGGTTGGCCTGGTCGACTTCCGCGATCTTCCTGCGTAGTGTATTGGCGGCCTTGGTTAGCTGGGCTTTTTGCGCACCGAGTTGCGACATTACCTGGAACATGACAGAGCAGAAACGCAATATCAAATAAACAAGGTGAGCGAATAAAAACTATAACTAGAACCCCCCAAGATAAACATGAAGTGAATAGCATAAACGAATCGGCCCAACCTACATCATATGCTAAACCCTAAAGAAAACAGAGTAGTCCAACGGCGGTAGGGAGAATAATGGGCGCAAGACAAGCAGTTACGACAACGCGTCCGTCTAAGAGCCTAGCGCGGCACCTAAGTGAAACGCGTGTAACAGAACTAGCAGAGCAAGTAACCGACCGGAGGCCAGTGTAGACACTGTAGGAGGCTCCAGCTTGGCGACCTGGAGGGGTTCGCAGAACCCATGGGCGAGTGAACCGCTATCTGCCTACCTAAACCTAAAGACATACCTTACCTAAACTGAAGAAATATGAATGCCTACCTACTTGCCGCGCCTTTATCTACCTAACCTAAATACCTTACCTACCTATGCCCTTTACCTAACGTGAGTACCTTACCTACCTATCCGCGCGGCCTAACCTAGATGCCTTACCTACCTATCCTAGCTTGAACCCCACTAAAATATACCCTTACCTAGCCCACCTAAAAACCAAACTTAGCCCCGTTAACCTAACCCATCCCCCCGATCCTAAACCCCCTCACCTACCTAAAGCGAACCCAGTTACCCTCCTAAACCTAGCTAAAAACCCTACCCCTTAACCTAAGCCTTATCCCTAACCTACCCCCTTACCTAGATTGTGCCCTATACCTAAGCCAAATCCTTGCTAACCTATCCTAGACCCCCTTACCTAGCCCGAATACCCAATTACCTATCCCCGGTTCACTCTCCTGTTAAGGACGGCGCCGTGTGTGCCTCGCCATGATCCGCGCGTCCGAAATCCGTGTGTCCTTGAAACCTGAAAAAGCCTATTCCACTTACCTGCCTTATCCTTTGTTGAAACTCGACACTATTGCAGCTGCTGGTCCTTGGTCGAGCCCGCCAATGACGACCCGGCCCGTCACTCCTACAGCCTCTCTGGCGCGGTGGCTGACCAGGAATCGAGTGAGTCCACGCGCTGAGCTCGGGAATTAGTTGGCAAGCTGCCACCTTACCACTACCCCACGCGCTGCCCACATATTAGCCTGGCTAGCCTCTGTAGACCACTACTGGCTACGAAGACGAAAGGCGCGTCTTCACTGCTTGCCTGGATCTTTCTACTAGGTGCTGAACGTGGTAGACACAGGGTTCGTTACGCACGCATGGAGGATGGGATAACTTAGCGCAGAGAAACCTACCTGAAACCTTACCTAAAACGCCGATGTTACCTACCTAGCCGCAACCAAGGCGCGCGGCTACCCATCTCCATACGCGGGGCGGCAAAACCGCCATCCACCATGCGCTCGGCGTCGATGCACCATGTGGCGGCTCGGTGTGATCAGCACCTTTCCGCTAGTGCTCGCCGCAGCTACACCTAATTCCCTATTGTCCCCTACGATGTCGCGCGTCCGTTAAGGTTCGCGACGCCTTAACGGCCGCTGCCGAGGACTACCCCCTACAAGTATGAACTGCACAATACATAGCGCGTAACGCTGAGAAAGAAAGGACCGACTAATTCAGGTTGCGTTTATCTACAAATATACACAACAATAAACTAACATTACTAAAACTACAAAAACTACTAAAGCTACTAAACTACCACTCTAAAAGTCAGGAAAAGATAGGCACGGGACGAGCCGCCTTGTCCCGTGCTGCCGATGCTCGGTGATGATCACTCCAACGTGTAGTTCCGGGCTCTCCGCTGGGTCAACCGCAAGCCCCTAGCCCTTCCGGGACGGTGTGACCCCTCTCCACTCCCGCTGTGTGCTTCCTACGCAAGACAAACCATGATATTAGCTGCGCGTCTCCAAAAACCAAGACGATGACAAAAGCTCAACCGCTCGAAACCGATGATCATCTGCGGGAGCTGCTGGAGGCGCTGCCAGCACGAACGATCTCATAAAACAATCAATACGAACGAAACTCGAAGAGGCGTAGACCGCGGCCTGCGCGCCCTTATATACCCTGTGACTTGGCAACGCGCCCAGCAGGAGAGGTCTTGGCGCGATCTTGAAAGCGCGCCAAATAACGCGATAGCCAGCGCTCCCGGCCTCCTGTTTCGAGGAGTGGCTTGCATCGCGAGCCGCGACACATGAGTGATTTCTTGCATTCGCGTCTTTTTTCAAAAAATGTGGGCGGTGTTGTACAGTAATGAGGAGGGCTCGGTATTCCATACAAATTCAAATGGAAGGTATTTTGAAGTGGGTCCAAAACTTAGCAAAGGACTCGTGAAGAAAAGTTAACGATCAAACAGTAAGTAACTTCTGGGACACTTTATAGGTTGGGAGAAAAGTGATTTTGGCTAAACAAGCCTTAGATGGTCATTCCATGTGAAGGAGACGTTGAACAAGTTTTCATAGCACAAAATGTAAATATAATGTCAAGCAGATTACTGTTTTTTGTACTACCTTCTGACTAACAAATGCAAAGATTTGTAGAAAGCCCTCTTGAGTTAAAATAAACCTTAATGTTTGTTTGGAGAGGGACAAATGCTGTTGACTAACTCTGCATGAATCACCGTCTATATCGAGTGCCTCATAAACTTCAACTTTACAAAAAATAATTGAATCTACCCAATTGTGTCCTAAAATATCAGAAAAGTGCTGTGTCATCTATTTTCTTTACATAAGCGATTCTCCTTATTCTCGTGCTATTTCCTCATCCACTGCATGTGCAACCATGCAAATAAACCTCCACCTGACTTATTAAAGATTAATGAGCTGATGTTGTGGATTGTTCTATTCATCGCCAGTGCCACAGCAGATCTTTGGACAGAAACAGAACGCATCAGCGACTTGCAGCAAGTGAGATTATGACTTACTTTCTATATTCACAAAATTTCTTATTCAGTGGCGAGCATTGTGTGGACGTTATGCGGTAGCCAGAGCATATATGGAGGATAGCAATGCGAGAATTACGGTATTTTTCACGAAGTTTCATAGAGCTCCAGATCAGTTACTTAATTTCTAGGTTTTTGCACCGGTGGATGACGTATTTACTTACAACCCAGATATTCGAGCACTGGATCAAAAAGAGACTCTTAGCCACATAGGTAAAGAAATAACTATTGATCTATTGTCTAACAATATTTGCTTCAGTTGATACACAAGTGGTAGAAATCTCTCAAGGAAAGCGATGGGAGAAACAAACATTGATTCGATCCACCATAAACAGCGGATATATCTATATAACACAATTTGAGAATAACCCAGGAAACTTTGTATGTCCAAAAAGTTCTCATTTTTCAATAGCTGCTATAGTCTACTGTGTTATAGTCATACTTTGCCAATGGTGGTATGCTTTGTAATCATGCAACGAATCAATGGGGAATGATATCTGGAGAACAGTACCTGTACAAAATTTGCACTCCCATTGGACATCGACCGTATCCCGGTACGGCGTTGTCTTACATTCGCGACACCGAACAGATACTGTTCGAAGATCGACAGTATGACAATAGCGAACTCACGTAGGTATTTTGATTTCCTCACCTGAAATTTTCACAGTTAACAAATCTCACCCCAGTCATATGTGCTTGCAGTCCAATTGAAAAGTGCCACCTCTTACACACAGGCGTATCTCAACTTCCGGTCTTTATGTGATAGAAATTTTTTGTACGTACCTTTATGCAAAATGAAAACATGAAAAATGGAGAAAATATGTAAAGGATGCAAAAATTTCACGGAAGCACCCCTTTCTAGCTGCTGTAACATGTCCATCACTAAATTTGTTCTTGTCGTACAGGAAACCCAATGGGAACATTAAAAACTGCATATGCTTCTATGGTACAAGCGTTCTCAAAAACTATAAACTACAAGTTGTATTTTTAGACAGTGGTGTACCAAGGAGGGGGGGGGGGTCGCGAAATTTTTGAAATTTACTTACGGGGGTTATAAAATTGTGCAACTGACTTATTTATACTTGTAATTGATTAAATTATTTTTCAATTTTTTTTTAATTTCAATCTAGCCGCTTGAAAAAAATTTTAATAATTTTTTCTAGGTGAGACCTTCATCAGAAAAATCTTTGTCGCCTCCTCCTTCCCCCCTCCCCTCCCCCCCCCCCCCCCGAAACGAAAATCCTGGGTACGCCACTGGCTTTAGATGCCACATTCAAACAAAACTGTTCCAAATCTTGTCTGCATTCTGATGACTGATCTTATTTTCAAAAATTTTGGCTGGATCACACAAAAGAGCAGATCTTCTTTTAAGATAGACTGTGTGTAATACTATTTCAATCTTTTCTACTGCTTTACTAGTTTTCGTGGTACAGGTGGAGAATACGGAAATATACACTTGGCAATGACTCCGGTTGGCCCCAATTCTAGTCTGGGTGAAAAAAGATCTCTGCCTGTCATCCAACAAAAACGAAAATGATTACACTCAAATATGCAAGGTCTCAGAGCAAATCAAAATTTACAGAGAATTACGAGATATTCTCAATCGAGTGCCTGATATCGCTCTCGTAATCTATGGCAGCTCTGCATGGAATGGCTTCCACACATTTTTCCTTCCCAACGATAAAGCCTTTGCTAAGGTGGGTGTCATAGATTCACAGTAAAAATCTTTGCTAATATATAAATATTTTAGGTCATCGATAGACAACGCATTGATCGTGAAGTGCTTCTAGCACATGTCACTGGTATGAACAGAGTGTTGTTCACTTATCCATGGATGTATGACTTTGGCATCCATTATTATCCATCAATCAGGTAAAACACACTTTTAAAACTGTTAACTATCCACAATGAAGCTTTAGCGAGCATTCTATGGATATATCATGTTTGAGTATCACCTATTCGGTGACTAATTGTAAGAGACTCGAGTAGGCTTTGCACACATTGTCTAACCAAGCTTGAACTTGTTTTTTCCTAGTTCCAAGGAGTAAACATAGATGAGATAGATTACAGATATACTTCACTACATGATCGAGCTTGTTTAGACAATTTGAGCAAAACGTGCTCAAGTTCCCTAGTCTCATAATGAATGATATATGAATTTCTAAAGGTGTAATACAAACTGATAATTTTCATCTATCTAAGTTTAATTTCGATTGAAACAAAATTCCAGATTCTCCTCAAACATCATCGAAGACAATTTCAAATTGAAGCTTTCGATGCGAAACATTACGGACAGACGAACAGGAAGATGGGACTGTTAGTTCTAGCTTCTCAATGAGAACTTAAGGCAGTCCCAAAATAAATAAATATCCTTTTCAGTATTTGCCGTTTCGGAAGTTTACGAACGCTACTCACAATTTCGAAGAGGAGCAGTTTGGGCAAAAATTCTTGTTCCAAATATTCCAGTACAAAATGGTGTTGTTCATATAATCGATAATGTTTTGGGTATTGTTTCAAACACAATCGATCAGGTATGTTCTCAACAAGTCAATGTATAGATTTGATGCCTACTTTCTGTGGTCTACATTTCAGCTAGTCATGGAAAACTATCGCTGCACTACCTTGATGCGATATATCAACACCATAGGTCAAATTGTTAGAAACTACTTCTCAGCCACTGGTGGATTAGTCACGTTCTTTGCACCATACAATGAAGCTTTTGAAAGAATTCCGGAACAAATCGAACGGCGACTGCTTAGGGACCGAGTTTGGCTTGAGCAGGTACTCTGATGCTACCTCTCGTCTATATTCCAAAATTTGCTTTTCTAGGTACTCAAACTGCACATAGTACCTGCTAAAGAGCTCACTTCGGACGAGATCACCAACGAGACAATTGTTTCAACCGTAGATAATATTCGACAGCTATACTTTATCAAAGGAGAATGGCCAAAGAACAATATCAGTGAGACCCTATCTTTACGGTATTGTGACAACTGACAAGTGACAGAAACAAATGACATTTCAGCCTATTATGTGATCGGTGGTGGTATCAAGACTGCAATTATCCAAGATAATGTCGCTGCCACGAACGGTATCGTACATTATATCGAGCGAGTACTTGGTGTACCTTATCAGTCACTGTGGGAAATTCTTAGAAACGAGACACGACTACAGTAAGTGTCACCCCATCTTAGTATGTGAAGCAGAGTCCAGACAAATCTCGATCCTGGGGCTCTTATGTGGAAACTGTACCGGAGGCCTTCCAAGCCATTGCCCAAACGACTGCTCATACGCATTCGTCGCTGAAAAATTCAGCTTTGGATTTCCGACCTACCGTATTTTTTACTTACTGTACTAGAGGCCTTGATTGGACGGTTAGAAAAGATTAATCGGAGCTGGGTTTAAAGTGTATTTTTCGGCCACGACTGGAACATACATGCTGCCGCATGAGCAATAGGTTGACTGAGGCTCCCGATTTTCCACATTTCGGGGATTAGGATTTCTGAACACGGCTTCTAACAACATTCAATTATTTTGTAGGAGATCGTATGAAATGCTGACAAACCTGCAGCTGCGATATGCGTTAGATCCATGGCAAGTGTTGACCCCTGAGCAGAACTTTACCTTTTTCGTACCCACCAATGAGGCTTGGGACACAAAGGTACCAGCTCAAAGATCCTACGTGTGCATACTTACATAGATTCTACTTCACAGGTTGCCCCTTCGTTAAAAGCTCGTATGAATGATGGAAATCATTGGCTAGCGCTACAGTACGTCTTCAAACGGCATATTATTCAAGGGCAGGTATGTAAAAAATTTCAAAGACCTGGTTTCATCCACAGAAATAATCTCTGTTCAGGCTTTGATGTATACAGATCTTCGAGAGAGAACCTATGTAATGATGAATGACGAAAAAGTAGTGATTCGAAGGAGAGGACGATGTAAGGTTTTCGTAGAGAATTTGAAACTGTAGGGCTCCCTTCTAGAAAAGCAAGTATTGGAAATATAGTATTCTAAAGCGTTGTACCGGTTAACCACTTTTATCAAAGTTAGAAACAAAAATAATGAGCAGTCAAAAAGATAAATAGGTATGAGGCTGGTAACAATGCCCGTAAACTGAGGAAAAGAAAAACTCTGCTGTCACTGGATCGCCGGAATCCGGATCACTCGACATAAGGGTCGGGCATACTTCACGCGATTTTAGTCGCGACACGATTTGGCAATTCGCCAGAAGTCTTCAGATCCATCACTAGCAAACTGCACATGCACAGTGTGTATAATTTACGTGGATTGATAAAATGATCTACTGTACATTTAAAATGCACTTACAGTGAGTTATGGACTGTTGGAATATTGCCAAATCGCGTCGCGACTGAAATCGCGTGAAGTATGCCCAGCCCTATACGCTTCAGAGCGACTAAGTAGTACAAGGGTACCATTGAATCCAGTCGACGAGCTCTATCCTTTTATATGTGGATGCCTGTCCAAGTACGGTAGCTATACTGTATTTGCAGTCAGCTGCAGCTAAAGTCTGTACGTGGTAGCCAGCACAGCGAGTAATTTATGGCAAGCAAAGACTAGGTTTGTAAAACGTACATGAAACTGCTTCCCTACCGTGCCTACCGTATCCAAAAAACAGTTTCATAAATCAAAAATATTCCCCGTCAAGTTGAGTTGAATAGTAGATTTATAAATTGGTCCGTTCCGAAGCGATATATGGTGATGCACGGCGGATTCGGCGAAATGGCAGCCGCCGTTCTTCTTTTTTTTTATTATGAGCAGTATTTTATGACGTGCTTATTCCAAACAAAGCTCATCAAAATGTAATTGTTCCAGATTTTGAACCGGAATGAATACGGATTGGCGCAAAGTAAATATCATATCTAATACCCAATGCTTTCATTACTGAAAAACGGTGCTCATAAATATTTCCAAAAGAGGATTGCATTACTGCACAAATTTGCAATGCTTTAGCTCCATTTCAGTGTACAAATCCAAAAACCACTCGCGAGAGAACTTAAAAACTTTATAATAAATTGTGAAGATCATATGTCCACCTTTATCGCTCAAGCACAAATTGATATGCAATAGCTCTAGCGGGACACACTTTATAGCCGTGTGAAGCAGTTTTTGCCAATAGTAAAGCCTACAGCCTTTTATGAAAAGTCCAAGCAGCAAACGTAATTGCTTGTGTAACTTGAGAGTTGACAACTTGATGTTCGTTTGACATCGTAGGTACAAACCTTTTTGCTTTATACTTCACTGCAAGCAATTACATGCAAAAAAGCTATGACAAAATGTATCGAGGAGAAAGCTTTGGAAACGGAAAACATCGCACATATGATTTATTGCCAATTTTGATGTCGGGCTTCTTCTTGTCGAAATTCGAACCCGTCAAAATGAATGAAGGGTGGATTAAACGAATGTCCAGTCTTCATCCGAAAAAGGAGTTTGTTCGCTATCGCATGAAATTCTATTTCCAAAAAAAATGTGTTTCTGCTTTCTGCTCACCAAGCGCAAAAAAACAAACAAAAAATAGCAAGTATTATATTACCACTTTTCAGATTTCGAACTCTACTGGCCCCGCGGTGGTCGAGTGGCACGAGTGATTGAAGGCGGTGAAATTGCTGGTATTAATGGATTTATGCATATGATCGAGGACGTATTAATTTATGAGCCAGATTTACGAGCACATGGCGGTTTTGTAGAAGTTCTCAGTTGGCAACTTGCCATGGTCTTGACATTCATGTTTTGGAGACCTGCTATAGTGTGATTAAGCTGTCTGCGGTGTTTTTGAGCACCAAAATTTAGAGGAAAAGCATTTTGTTGACTTCATTGCAGAAGGAATAGGTTCTTGCTTTTTCACTGTTGATAGTCAAGCTGAGCATTTTTGAAAGTGACGATACATCAAGCGATTTGGTCGCCTCGCAATTCTCCCGACAAGACAACTGTTACGAGTCCATTTATGCGGATCATCTTGCATTTCAGTTGTGATAGTTTTCCGAAGCAACTATGTGCAACTAACTAACCGAAATAAGATAATCGCTATGCATAAAACTCGTGACAGCTGCTTTGTCAGGAAAATTGCGGGCGAAGAAAAATCGCGTGACGTATGCTCTGCCCTTTAATTCTTCAATAATCTCACTTCAGTAAATCGGGTATATTACTATTTTGTCTTGAATGAATGTTACAAATTGTGTTTGTATTTCAGCCAACACTTTTCAAACTCCACAACCTTCATTTGCAGCTTGCCTCCCCCCCCCCCCCCCCTCCACCCGCCACTGCTCCACCCCGCGTTATCCACTTATGCTTGCCCCGCCCAGTCGCTATTGTTTCTTCCGTCCAAAGCGCGCGCCTACCAGAACAGCCACATCAGAGTACTCATCCATATAATCCTCCTCCAAATCCGAACCGTTTGCCCTGCTTCTGATCTACCGCCCAAACCATAATGCCCGTAACGTCATGATCCATTTTCTTCTATATTGGCTGGCACCGAGTACAGCGCTGACAGTGATTTTTCAAAGAAGCACAGATTCGCTTGCCTGTCGACGATACTCCATTTCAAATCGCCCATGTCAGGATTGTTCGTCACAAGATCTTTCTGCACTTCCGCAACTTTTTCCGGATGTTATTTCGCTGAATCTAGCCAATAATTCATTCACAACTATTGATCGATTTCCAAAGTCCTACAGCAATCTACATACATTACGATTGGACAAATGTAGTATTAGAAAAATGTCCGTGCAGGTGAGACAAATTTGTTCTGCTTTTTCTCTCTACCGATCAAATGGCTTCATTTGCCTTTGAAGGCTCCATTTGGTTAATGGTTCCGCAGCGAAAACAAAAAGCTAAGAAAAACTGAGTTTACTGAGGTTGTACTAGACGATGCAGACAGCTAGATAATTTGCATCTCAATGTTTTTATGACTGGGACAATTATGGTGTCTTGAATTGCACTGCCCAAAAATTTTCGGTGGTATTTTGAGACCTTGGTATCTATGGTGGATAAGGAAAGGTTGTGAAACGCATATTGAACAAGAACATATGCTGCAATTTCTAAAGGCCAATCAATACATAAAAATAAAATGCCCCTTTGAAAGCTTAGCATACCTTCAAATAAAGGTAGAAAACTACTTCGCATTTTTCATATAGTCATCTGCAAGACTTTTTTTCTGCAAACGGCTCGTTGTAAAGTTCCAGTGAATTAATCCCTTTCGTCCTTAGTGCATTCGATCTCTTTTTGCAAAAGTCCAAAGCTTCATTAGTCACATTTCAGTCACATCATCTTCCACACTTCCAGAAAATTCCATTATGTTGCTAGATGTTTTCCTTTTTTGCACGCAACGTCTGGCTTTCCCATTCGATTAACATTTCCTTTGCTCGCAATGCACATTTTCTTTTTCAAGCCCATGGGAGAACCCAGCTGATTGGGCTTTTCCTCCAAAATTAGTTTCTTCTCTAAATTCTTCCAATAACATGGAGTCCCAAAATAAAAGGACGCAAAAAAATGAGTGCAAAGAAATTCATGAAGCGATGTGATTTACTTAGCAACATTTCTAATTATGAATGGATTTGTGATTTACTTAGCAAAATGGATTTATCGGGCGTTTCCATAAAGCCTGCTCCATTGCTGTCTGTAGGCCCATCTGTGCACCCTCCCACGTCTCAAGGACCCCCTCATGAATGTTTCAAAGGCGTTTACTCGCTCTTGCTCCTCTTGAGCGCAAGAGAACGTAGTCTAGGTGGTAAAGACTGAAGTTCAATATAGCTTGGGTCTTCAATTTTAAAACGCTTGCTTACGTCTTAACAAATACAAAAAAAGAAAAAAATTTCATTAAAAGTTTTCCTTGATCTTTTGAAATTATGTTGGTCAGTACAAAACTATAGATTAAAAATGAGCAATTCTATGAAAAAGACTGCAAAAGCACCCCGGACTCCGATGAGTTGTTCAGAAGCACGACTTCTGGAGATTTTTGACAGCTAAGAGGCTGTAACTGACATGCTAGCTGCTTTCCTCTACGCACTCGTAAATAGGAAAAAGGCAGAAGCTTCCTCTTGGTTTGTTGGTTTGGCGCTGGTACATCTTAGTGGATGCTTTGAAAATCAACGAAAAAACTAAAACTTAGAGCCGAATTACCGCAGTCTTCGTTCGGAGTCGCCAGTGCTACCAAGGCATTCACCCTGAGAAGGAAATTTTTTTTAATCTCGAAAAAGGAAAATTCTATAGTCTTTCCTTTCCAGGCTCAAAACTTTTGACAATCCTTTGTGAAAAATAACTTTCTGTTGAAATTCTTGAATTCCAATTTTTGAATGAAAAATTCATAATCTATAAATTCGATGGTCTTTACAAAGCCAACTTCAATTTTTTGAAACGCAGCACGAGTTCAAGATCATTCTAGAGCGCATCTATTATATCTCCCTAGCATATTCCAAAATTCTCAAATTGAGCAGATCAACAGCTTCCATAACGACTATAGCCTTCCTGTTATTCGTTTTGCAGCTAAACGGAAAAGGACCGCTTCTAAGAGCGCTCATGACAATGATTTAGGCTTTATTGCGAACATTTGACTTTAGTGGCTCAGTTAGAGTGTTTACATGGATAAAATTGAAAAAGATCTGGGCATGGGAAATGTTAAATTGATTTTTCACTCAAGAAATTCTTTCTTAGAAAATTGAGTACACTATAATACAATATTTTGCCTCAATATGTACATTCAAAAGAAATTTTAGCAGAATAACAATAAGATTACTTCTTGTCGAGATGCTACGAAATTATTTCTTAGCCAGTCCATTACTTTTCACAAAATACACTCATACTGGCAAATTTATGTTCCATATTATGTAGCCCAAAAACAAAAGAAGGGGCAGTCGAGTGAACGCCAATGGGGTCTCATGATAAACCACTGGCTCCGGACCGCTCCCATTCATACCTTTGCGAAATCCTATACGTAGCGAGCGACAGGTGTGTTTCGTATAAACCGCATGTCCAATTTCTCTATACCGCGCTGAAAATGACGCATGTTGAGAAAGGTTACTTATAAATGGCAGAATACAAAAGTCGCAACAATGCGTCGAAATTGACTTTGTTTAAAACAATAAGAACAAATTCGTTAAGAACAATCAAGATATTTTTTCTGCATGGAGTGCATTATTAACAAGCACGCTTATTACTATAACAAAAAACTGAAAAAGTAAAAAAAATTGTAGAAGTGTTAAAAACAGATAAAAATTTTTTAAAGATGATAAACGAATGCATAATGAATTGCACAATTTCAGGCATTGAATTCCTTGACTAACATCCGCGTTCTGGATTTGTCCCACAATCAGCTAACTAGTTTAGCATTTGCCCATGGAAATCATGCACTTACGACTCTCAACCTTGCTCATAATTCTCTCAGGTTTGCAATTTCACTTGCATTTTTTTAACATATGCTGTTTTTTCTGCCAATTTCTTTTTGATTCTGGTAAAACATTCAAGCATATCCTGATTTTTGGCCTATTTAATTCAGCGACTACTAAGTTATCTCTAGATCTGTGAAATAATGACAGTTATTGACAATTGTTATTTTGTCCATTGAACGCCCACTCCTGCAAATCCGTATGTTAATTGCAACTTGCAAATTTTCCCAACTATTTCCCATTGTTTGTTTTTCAAACTACTCAGAGCAGTTCGTTTTGAAAGCAATAAAAGTTTCGAAAATCACCTAACTGAGCAAAAGCAGCAAAAATGAACAACTTACTAGGGCCTGTTTATTAGGTTTGTAGAGTTTGTTTTCTTGTGCTTTTCGCTTGCGATTAAGTTAATCTAATGGCCCCAATTGTTTATGCAGAAGCTTTTTTTTTATTGTGACTCATTTGCGGCATGTGAGAGTTTTGGTATAAGAGAGTAAAGAGCAATTCAGTAGAGGAAATTCGAAATTTCAGTCAGTTTATAAATATACTGGATTTATTTATTTATTTATTTATTTATTTGTTCATTTATTTATTCATTTATCTGTTTATCTACTTATTTATTTATTTATCTATTTATTTATTAATGGAGTAAATTCGAGTACCCATACTTAATACCAAAATTTCAGGTATCTTCCCGATCTCAGTGGCCTTCGCTCTCTACGTATCGTTGATTTATCCTACAATCATATCCTTTCCGTTAACCCTGCCTATCTACCACCAAATGTAGAATCTCTACGATTAACCGGAAACAACATCACCCACCTCACTAAATGGCCATTTCTTAGCAAACTGCAGGTACTCGCTTCGCTTTCACTCATTTTGCAGCCTTGACTGTGATGGAATAGTTCGGAACAAAAACTTTTCGAAGGCTTGTGCATGGCACAGCCAAAGAATTGCCGACGTTTTTACCCATTACCATTTTGTTGGGTTCTGAAATGGATAGTTGTCAGAGCAAACTATCAATCAAGCCTTTGTAATCTTATATATAAAGCTGAATGTCTGTTTGTCTGTCTGTCTGTCTGTCTGTATGTCTGTCTGTCTGTATGTCTGTACGTATGTTCCGAATAGAAAATTCCATTTCTGAACCGATCCGGACCAAACTTGGCACACATACACTACGGGCCCCGGCGGGTGTCATAGGCTACTTTTCGTCATCGATCGATATCGATTTTATCGATTTTTATCGATTTTTTTGCTGAGTTCACCTACGGGGCTGGGAGTTGGCACAGGGGGGTAATCGAGCATGGGGATTCCGAATACAATATTGGTTTTCAGGATTATCGATTACTTTTATCGATTTTATCGATTTTTTTGCAAAGTTTGAGCTACGGGGCTGGGAGTTGGCACAGGGGGGTAATCGAGCATGGGGATTCCGAATACAATATTGGTTTTCAGGATTATCGATTACTTTTATCGATTTTATCGATTTTTTCGCAAAGTTTGAGCTACGGGGCTGGGAGTTCGCACCGGGGGGTAATCGAGCATGGGGATTCCGAATACAATATTGGTTTTCGGGATTATCGATTACTTTTATCGATTTTATCGATTTTTTTGCAAAGTTTGAGCTAGGGGGCTGGGAGTTGGCGGAGGGGGGTAATCGAGCATGCTGATCACCCCCAAGGGGGGTGATCAGCATGTTCGATTACACCCCTGTGCCAAATTCCAGCCCCCTAGCTCAAATTTTCAAAAAATCGATAAAATCGATAAAAGTAATGGACGATCTTGAAAACTAATATTGTGTTCGTAATCTGCATGCTCGATTACCCCCCTGTGCAAACTCCCAGCCCCGCAGGTCAAACTTTACAAAAAAAATCGATAAAATCGATAAAAGTAATGGACGATCCTGAAAACTAATATTGTGTTCGTAATCCCCATGCTCACTTCCCCCCTGTGCCAACTCCTAGCCCTGTAGGTGAACTCTGCAAAAAAAATCGATAAAAATCGGTAAAATCGACATCGATCGATAACGAAAAGTGGACTGTGACACCCGCCGGGGCCCGAAGTGTATGTGTGCCAAGTTTGGTCCGGATACGGCGGAGCCGGGTAAGCCAGCTAGTAGCTTTATAAAGAAAGGAAACATATGGCAGTACAACAAAATATCTCGGTTACCTTGGAAATAACTTTTAGCATTTCTTTGCATTTTCTCAGCCCATGCTAATTATACTAGTCAATGGCAATTACTGTGTCAAGAAGAAATTATCTAAGAGAAAATTTACTCAACTTCTCATGATTTTATGACTCATCCTTTCAACTGAAGTCTATTCTTTGGCGATACTGAAGCATATGGAGACAAACAGTTAGTAGTTTAGTCACTCTCACATGCCTCAATATTCGTTCCTAAATCTTAATTATAACTGTTCTAATACAATCATTCCGTAGAATCTGTTACTCAAATCCTACTTTGCATGCAGGATAGAGCCAAAACAAATGGCAGATGGAACTTTTGCAGCAAGCTTGTGATTTCTCACTTTCATCATGCTTAGAACTATTGAAAGGTCAAAGCAATGTCTCCTCTTCTTATTTGTCTTCTTTTTACCTGTGGAGTATTTTGAATGATTTCTTAAAAAAGACGAAAAGATGAAAATGGAAGGTGAAGTTTGTGACATTTTCACAATATGACCCTGCTACTTCTATTTCGATATAAATTTTCCACAATATTTTTTGTCATGCACCACCCACGTAACTGTGTTTCTTAGCTCCATTTTACTACTTCGACAATTACTCAAGCTAATCCCCATCGATTCTTGTTGTTTTGTCGCCGGAACTGGCTGAGATGAGCATTTGTTGCTGAATCGTCACTAAATGCCAGCCTAGTCTCTAGCCATTTCCTGGCTGGATTGGCCAAGAATTTGAGAAGTGGACCGACTAGTAGTGACCTAGCACTGCACAGCGCCATGGACCTCAGCTGCTGCATACATAATTTAACAAGGGTTCGTGTACTTGCATTGTAACTCGACCCTACTGAGACAATAGCGTCATTGTTCGGGAGTCAACTAGGATTTAATTGCGTTAAAGGAGCACACGAACTTAGAAATGACATTTGAGCACTTTTGGAAGTATAGTACAGCTCTGTCTTTGCAGCCATTGCCGGCCATGAAGGCTTGAAAAATTAATCCCCATTTTGAGCGTATTATCAAAGGAAAAGATCTAGGTTTTTCTGTGCAAGTTGTATTGCACTTTCGCTTCTACTTTTGAACGCGAAGAATTAAATGAAGTGTGCAATGTATATGTCGCGGATAAAAAATATTCTTAGCTGTCGGAGACACTAAGAATTTTCGACAACAAGAAGAAAAATGGACGAGAATGTTGAAAATTGCACTTTTGGTCCTACTACTTGATTGGTTTGAAATTCTGTCCTCACATCAGAAAGCAGATTTCCACGTCATGCCATGCTCAATGCGTTCAAGCAGTTTTTCAGAAGATTTGAAATCCTAATCAATTTAATGTACCTAAGCATTTATATGAAGCTAGCATTCATCTAAGCAAATAGGAAATATATTTTGCAGTGGAAGCCCAGCTTTTTTTTCAAAGGGGAACGATCCCAACTTAAGGTGGCGAATTAGAATGAACCGCATACCATTAGATGCGTCTTGATGAGCTGATTCCAAATCTCTCTTTCATATCTGCGACACCGTTATCTGCAAAAAGTTATGAGCGGTTGAAAATGTGAAGTTATCGGGGTTTCAATGCATAATATGCTTTAAAATCCAACTTGGAAGTGCACGACTAGCATGATAATGAGTATACTGATTCCAGGGAATGCTCAGTTTCTAAAGAAACACAGATAAATGTTTTTGAACTGCTAAAAAGTAACTAAAGTTTTTTGGTAAAAGCTATGAGCAATGAAAAGTCCAAATTTGGCAAATGTACAGCGCCATACCTCGAAAATTAGTTGTTCAAAAACACTTATCTGTGTTTCTCTAGAATCTGAGCATTCCCAGGAATCAGTACACTCAATATCATGCTAGTCGTGCACTTCCAAGTTTGATTTTAAAGCATATTATGCATTAAAACCCCGGTAACTTCACATATTGAACCGCTCATAACTTTTTGCAGATAACGGTGGCGCAGATATGGAAGACAGATTTGGAATCAGCTCATCAAGACGCATCTAATGGTATGCGGTTCATTCTAATTCGCCACCTTAAGTTGGGATCGTTTCTTGTAAGCCATAAGGTACAACCACCTCAAAGCTGTCATAGCGACAAAGACTGCAGAATCCGGAATAAAAACATACATTTCGAACAAAATGTGATTTCCTGTCAAATGACGATTATAGCTGCAAATCGCTCGAAAATGCAGAAAAACTGGGATTTTACATATGTAATCCACCGCTACTTTTGAAAATGGTTAATAGCTGTCTGAGATGGATTTAGATTCAGTAAATTCAAGATAAAGATAAAATAAGTGAGTAGATAAAGAAAATAATGAGATGGATACGCAAACACAACGCATTGGTAGAAAAAGCAATCGATAAATGGTTAGCATAGACGCAGAAGAATTCTCAAAAAACTGAACATGTGACTACAGGTTGACGCGTCTGATCATGATCTCGATCGATAAGCTGATCTGCATACTGTACCTAACTTTGATTTTTCTTTATTTAATGGATTGTGGGCTAAAATTTAATCACTCGTTTTACACGTTTTAAAACAAATTCGAGGTATTCTATGACTGTGTGGAAAAATTTGAGATAGTTCTTTACAATTTTTTCTGTCTCAGCAGCATGGCTAACAAATCGATTAGCGTGGTGCACGTAATCGCGAACTTGGTGTTATGTACAGTGTAGCACATTTTACGGTTAATGTAGTGCTCTTGCGATGACAACAACATTTGCGCGAAAACAGACGTCCTGCTCTTGGACGCTAGTTTGCTTATAATTTGCGCGCAAAAAAACGGCCATAAAAGGCGCACTGTCATTGTTGACGCGCAAATGTTGTCGACATCGTAAGAACACACATTAACCGTCAAATCTACTGACCCTAGCTCGAATTCATCAAATCCTAGAGCTTCCTGCATTCCACCGAACCATTCACCCCTTTTGCACTCAAGTGCCAATCTGGGCTCCACTTGAGTTGGAATGTTGCCAATAACATGACGCAATCTGGCTGCGGGGCCATATAGCTGTGAAAAGGCCCTGGTAAAATGATCCCTTCGCTTCAAACAGCCCTAGCTATCATGACCGAAACGGCGCCAGACCCCATCAAATCCATGTAATCTCGTGCCGCAATCGTCATCATAATGCTTCTCATAATGAGATATGTCATGACAAAGGTCAAACCCATCAGGATCTGCCGGAAGAGGCGAGTTTTGTCCGGCCGAACAATCGAAACGGGGAACCAGCAACTGATCCGCATAATTAGCAGCTGTTTAGTCGGTAAAAGAGCAGCATGATCTAATTGGGCCTTCGATATCGTTCGAGGACTTTCAATAACTGCCGCGAGATCAGCAAGTGAATGCTAATGTGCAGCAGATGTCGGGTGCAGTTGAGTGCGGGGTCGGGGACGAGAGACCGGGTGTGCACTGTCATTCTTTTTGAAAAACGCTATCCGGATGTCTCGATGATGTCGGAAGGTCTTGGAAGGAAGGGGATATGCAAATGAGACTGGCAGATGTCTGCTGGACATTTCTGGCAGAATCATATTAGAGGACCAAAAGTTGATCCATATAAAATGTTTCAGCTAATACTTACTATCTCGCTCTGATTTTATTAGAGACTAGCTGGCTTACCCGGCTCCGCCGTATCCGGACCAAACTTGGCACACATACACTTCGGGCCCCGGCGGGTGTCACAGTCCACTTTTCGTTATCGATCGATGTCGATTTTACCGATTTTTATCGATTTTTTGGCAGAGTTCACCTACAGGGCTAGGAGTTGGCACAGGGGGGAAGTGAGCATGGGGATTCCGAATACAATATTAGTTTTCAGAATTATCGATTGCTTTTATTGATTTTATCGATTTTTTGGCAGAGTTCACCTACAGGGCTAGGAGTTGGCACAGGGGGAAAGTGAGCATGGGGATTCCGAATACAATATTAGTTTTCAGGATCGTCCATTACTTTTATCGATTTTATCGATTTTTTTGCAAAGTTTGACCTGCGGGGCTGGGAGTTTGCACAGAGGGTAATCGAGCATGCAGATTACGAATACAATATTAATTTTCAAGATCGTCCATTACTTTTATCGATTTTATCGATTTTTTGAAAATTTGAGCTAGGGGGCTGGAAATTACCCCCCTGTGCCAACTCCCAGCCCCGTAGCTCAAACTTTGCAAAAAATCGATAAAATCGATAAAAGTAATCGATAATCCTGAAAACCAATATTGTATTCGGAATCCCCATGCTCGATTATCCCCCTGTGCCAACTCCCAGCCCCGTAGCTCAAACTTTGCAAAAAAATCGATAAAATCGATAAAAGTAATCGATAATCCTGAAAACCAATATTGTATTCGGAATCCCCATGCTCGATTACCCCCCTGTGCCAACTCCCAGCCCCGTAGGTGAACTCAGCAAAAAAATCGATAAAAATCGATAAAATCGATATCGATCGATGACGAAAAGTAGCCTATGACACCCGCCGGGGCCCGTAGTGTATGTGTGCCAAGTTTGGTCCGGATCGGTTCAGAAAATTTTCTATTCGGAACATACGTACAGACATACATACAGACAGACAGACAGACAGACAGACAGACATACATACAAACAGACATTCAGCTTTATATATAAGAAGAAAGTGCAGAAAGCTTCGTTTTCTCCAATCAGCATCTTTTTTTTGTTTGGGGTATCTGCCTTTATTTCAAACAACAATAAGCGTGGTCACTTCACGCCGAACATAGTTCATGCGCCAATCTCCCGCCATTTTTGCACGGAAATTTCGCCAAGTAGTGTGAATATATTACTCTTGTTAGAAGCGCATAGGTGGATAAAATAGAAACCGGTTGATAAATGAATCTACTAAAACTTTTCGGAGATGCGTAATTGTCTTCAATTTCAGCAAAATCGTTCACGAAATTCCTCGCTGACATATAGATACAACCCGATTCAGAGAAACACACAATGATTTTTTGATTTTCGTTCGTTAAAATTGTTGGCTATCTAATACAATCTAAATTCAATTTCTTTTTGGTTTTAGATTTGAGACCTGCTCTCTTACCAAAAAAAAACTTGAGCTAATCGGTTGTCTCTACGTATGGTTACGATTCTAAATTTTTATTGTAATTTCAGTTTTGATTCGAATAAAGTCTTTGAACCACATAATAGAAAAATCTCTTGAATGTTTAAAAATATACATTTGTAAATGTTATAAAAGTGTATATTAAGACTTAGAAAGCTTTTTGAACACATTTAAAATGATTTTTCATATTTGGTGACATATGCACCAAACAGTGGCGGTCCAAGGATTTCGTTGTGAGGGGGGGGGGCAACGCGAAAAACTTTTTGGGGTGCTTCCCAGAATTGCGGGCCCGTGATCTCAAATTCTAGAAAAAGGGGACGTGCGGCAGCCACACCCCCGAAGAAATTCCTAAAAAAATTTTTACTTACAGGGCTAATATGAAGTTTTAAAAAATTTGAAATTTGTTTCAGTTATTTACAAGTAATAAGTCACTTGCACTTTTATGATCCATGTAAGTATTAAAAATACCGCGACCCAAAATACCTCGGGGGTGGAAAACCCAACCCTGCCAATCAAATGCTGTACCTACATTCTCATTTATCCAGAAAAGTGACTGTGTTCCTTGGTTCTGAAAACTTCGGCAGCAACCGAGATTACTGGTCAAAAAGCATTCAGTATAAGAGATGGCGTGGTAAAGAGTGCACATCTGAACAAAAACCACAATTTTCCCTCTAAAAATAGAATCTAAAGAAATTAAGATGTCAAACGAGAGACAGACATTAGCTTTTCGGTACTTCCTAAAATTTCAGCACTTTCACTGAATAAAATCAACGTTTTCCAGGAGCTCGACGTCTCCTTCAATCCACTCGAATGTGCCTGTCCATTATGGGAATTTGTGAATTGGGCTGAGAGCTTGGCGCTGTTCCAAGAGGAGTCGCTACCGTGCCAACGACCGAAGAGTCTGCGGAGGAGCCGCGCGGGCAGCGCAGAGGTCGGTTTGCCAAGCTGCCAATAAAATTGGTCCGATCCGCTAATAAATGTGTCCATCGGGCGATCTCGGACATGTTTGCCAGCTCATTTATCATCTCGTTGAGGATAAATCGCTGATGTGTTTCGATTCATTAACGCACCATTAGGCAAATGAATGAGAGCCGTTGGTCTGGGGACCACACAACATTACGCGGCTCGTTACGAAAACAATGGATATTCGAACGATGGAGTAAAGATCTAGATGTTTACAGATTTTTTTAGATGATCTGTGGACCGGAAGTGGTCGCCTCGCAACATGTCGACCAAACCTACCTTTCACTTGGTGAACCTCATCGAATGTGTTGTTTGGTATCTTCTTACCCTCAACCTACAATTTGGTGGCACCATGAAGGACGAAATTTTGATTGGGTAAGTGCTATCACGGCAAAATCACAATTTGTGACCCCAGGTCACAGAAAGATATAGGCTAGAGTTTCATAAGGTTTCATGGGAATTTCGGATAGTGGCCCCGTTGATTGCGGAAGCGCTAGAATTTCATGTTTGCGCACATTTCAAAGAGCAACCCTCCGAGAATCGGTAGTGATTCTCGATAGGAGGGAGACTTTTCAAAGAAACGAAATTCCAAGCTTGTTGTAGCTTGTGGTAGAGAAGGAAAAATGGGATAGATGTATGTGAAATTCGCTGGGAAGTGGGAGTTTACGGGGACCTTTCACTACCTAAAAATCGCGTTGCTTAGAGCCTGATCCGATAAACCCCAGCTTCTGAAAATTTCTGGAGAGACACAATCACTTTTCAAAAATTTATGTGCAGTTTTAGAACAAGAAAAATCAGAGCTTGTATTCGCTTGCAGTAAATATGAGAAGCTTCAATAATATTATTTTTTTGTTTTTAGCCCAATGATCTATTATTTCTACCACGACAAATTTGTATTGACCGGATGTCATTATAATTTGTAAATTTTCAAGTTTCCTTGCCTCTTCTAAATCTATACAAAAACCGTGATACTGGTACAAAATATATCGATGAAGAGATTATAAGATTATATTCTCAGAAAAAGGTTTTCAAAAATCGTGACATGAATTTTTCGGATTTTGGTTGCAAGACTCATGGACCAACCTAATACAAAAACATGTCTGATTGAATTTGAACTGAGTATTTTAGCATCATTGTATAAATTTGAACATTGTCGAAGTATTCGATGCATTGATAAAATGAAAAATTGAGAGAAAAATTGAAATGAAAAATTTCTTCCACTCTTCCATTCTTCTTTCGCAAATCCACACTCAGAATTTTGGGGGCAAATTTGAAAACAAGAAGAAACTTGTTTCAGTTTAGAATTTTGTTTCACAATCCTTATTTTAGTTTCTTGATCAGAACTATTTTAGGGCACAGCACAAAGACATCTCCCAGATACCGGACAAATCGAAACCTGTGTGGAGATTGCAGCTGTATCGGTAGATGATCTCGGCATCTATAGATGTTTCGCTCAGTTAGAAGGTAATTTCTGAATAATGCAATCATCAAATTATTGGTCATTCTAGTTTAGGTACAACAAGGCTTAAGTGTATTTGAAAAATGTTTTTCCAATGAAATTTTCTTTGTCAATTCTTCCAAACATTACTCAATATGGTTCAGTTTTTATTATTTTTATGTTTTCAAACTGTCATATTATAGATTTGGTAGTGTCCAAAGAGTTTCAAGTGCAACGAACCAGGGAGCCGCTGGTTTTGAGTTCACCTCCTAACATCATATTCTACTGCCAATTTAGCATTGGATTATTTATTTTTGTAAGTTCTTTGGAATTTCTAGCAACCCGATCGTACTGGGGTCTCGCAAAGTTTACAACAGCTGCAAATCTAAACTATCTTCAGGCCTTTTGCTGTGCAACTTGCTGCATTCTTCGACGGGGACGACCGAGCAAAACGGGTCCGCAAAAGGACCATCAATTGCAGACCAAGGTGTGTTCGCTCTCCACCCCTTTTATCGTTTCACCAAAAAAAACTTGAGTAGTTTAGGTTGTTCACGTTCTCCCTCCCAAAGAAGACTCATCCGACAGTGTTACCCCGTCCTACGGTAGCCAAGACCAATACCATCATCCCGGATGTTGCGCTGAAAATCACCAATACTTAATAACACAAGAAGATTGCTATGCTCCCGACTATCCCTTCATGGAAGAGCGACGGTATCTAACATCCAAGCATCTGGATGACTCAGCTCAACGGCGAATTTCTCAATGGCGACATCGTATCGCCGCCATGAGGGCGCCACTGGCACAATTTGACAAGGAGACCAATATTATGGGGATTGTACATACTTCTGTATAACAGTTTTACATGAATTCTTTCACATATCTCTCTGCGCCCAAATGGCATGCGAAGCGGCATTTTGGCAAAAGAATTTCGGGAATATTAGGTCGTTCCGAAAGTTCTTTCCGTTTTTTCAACATATCATAAAAACACGTGGAACGAAGAAAGGGAAACGCTTCAGGCACCATCCAACGCAGCTTTTCTTCCTCTTTTCAACTATCATATTCTTGTGCCGCTCGCTCTTGTGATCAGTGAGATAATGGCCGAAATTTCAGACCCATGGTTTTTACCATGTCAAATTTTGGCAATTTTTCACTATCTTCTTTTTTGACTTTTGGAAAAGCTTTTCGGCGTCTATAGCTAGCCTCAAAACATTTTTAGAATTATTTTTCTGATGCTATCAATTTCCACTTTTGGGGATGCCAGAAGCCATAGAACATAAAACGGCGCACAATTAAGGTGTCATTCGATGCAGCTTTTTCTCGCCTTTCTGATGAGTGCTTTTTCTTCTTAGTTTGTGGGGTCTTTGGCGATAAAATTTCCATAAATCTTGATTTTGAACCCGCTTCATGATGTGCCCGTAAAATGCGAAATCTTATATTTCGAAGCGGTAAACGCTCAGTTACTTTGTAAAAATAGTGTACAATCATAAACGACTTTTGAAAGTTTCGAAAACCGAAGATTTGTTGATGTTCAGAGCGTTTGTGTGTTTTGTGACTCTGAAAAAGTGAAGACTTCTGAAAAAGTTATGTCAAAAAATAATGAGAAGCCAGCTGAAATTGCCGAAAAATTGCATTTCATTGCACTTTGTTTACTCTATCCGATTGCTATCAAAGCTTTTCCAAAAGTCAAAAAAGAAGATAGTGAAAAATTGCCAAAGTTGGACATGGTAAAAACTGTAGGTCCGAAATTTCGGCCATTATCTCACTGATCACAAGAGCGAGCGGCACAAGAATATGATAGTTGATAAGAGGAAGAAAAGCTGCGTCGGACATTGCCTGAAGCACTTCTTTTTCTTCGTTCCACGTGTTTTTATGATATGATGAAAAAACGGAAAGAACTTTCGGAACGACCTAATATTTTAAATTAGGACAAATAAGAACGTAGTCGAACCCCATTCCATGCAAAAGACGTCAATACAAACACACGTAACGGTAATTTTATTACATTATTCGGCTCCATTCCCTGCACAATAAATACTAGAAAAATTGCGACATACAGATAAAAAATCTATATACATCATTGACTAGTGATCATAATTCTATAGCTGCACTCTTTAACGTATCACAATGAGGAGAGTTTTGACGAGAGAGAAAGCATAAAGAACCCATTTGTTACAGCTAACAATCAAGTCATATAGCGAAATCACAACTTCTCAAAACAAGATCAATTATACACAAAACTGAAAGAGAAAAAAAAACGATTATAGATAGAACAAGGCAACCAAACCCACACTTGGGTGGATACATATGGATATAATGAGAAGACCCCATAATGGCACAGACTGAAATTTCAAATTCACCCATCAACCGTCTCCAGAAGCTCCAGGTGAGCTGGCATCCCTAGAAGATGTGGGTGGCGAAGAGGTTGAAGCTCGCAAGATCATACGAGCAAGCTCCGCATGTCCACAATTTGACAATAATTCCACTATCTCTGGCCATTCCTTTCTGCTAGCTTGAGCGTACATGTATGGAGTCTAAAGAAATTGAATTCATACCAATAAAAAAACCACTTGATATATGGATATACATAACGGTCCTGCAGAAATTCGAGAACAAAAAAGAACCTAATTCTCAAAAAATTCAGATTTTTGAGCACTAAACCATTCATCAATACTGATGACAACTCACTTTTTCGTCAAATGAGAGGTAAGTGATCCATTTGCTGAGCACATCCTCAGAATCTTCCAAACCCATCTAAAAAGACAAATATAGCTTCATGTTGATATACTTACGATCTGACCATACTTTAGCATAGACAATACTTTTATCCCATTGACGTTGCGACTGCAAATATTTGCAAGCATCAGCACCAGCTTTGACTAAGAACAACAATTCCACTCCATCTGAAAGTATAAATCCACTGGAGGAGCGGGAAAGAATTACAAGGAGTCTCATAAGAATGATATAAAAGCGTGATCAAAATTTACCTTCAATCATGTCAGAAGCAATGAGATTTGTTGCAATCAGTTTGATTAGCGATCGAGCTTGTTCGCTTTCCTGCAGAAAATTATACAGACTCCTACTTTTTGAATTAAATTTTTGAAAAAAGGCAACAAAAGTTGACTTTTGAGATGCAAAAATAAAAAGTGCTGACTTGACTCGACACCAGCAACGCAGCTTTCATGCTAGCATGCCGCAAATCATTCGACCCAATAAGGCGATCAACAGCTCGCTCCTAAAAAAATTCAAAAGGAACATGTTGTAGTCAGTAAGTAATCCACAAAAACAACTTGAAACTTATGAACAAGATACAAACACAACAAGATAAAACGGTAGTAAACTAGAAATGTAAAGCTCAGACTAACTTTTGCTTTCCCGCCAGCCACAACAGCTCTTTCAACCAGCCGACTTTCCTCAATATTTCCAGCGCTACATGCTGCACAAGTAACTCGCAACTCTCTCTCCTGTATAACAAACTTTATTTGGAGGAGATAGGGAAAGTGTATAGAAGCTCACCCGAAAAGTTTTGTTGGGCCAATAAAGTTGGAGATTAGGAGGCAACTGATTCCCTTCTTCAGAAAGGACTGAGCAGATTATTTCTAATAGATTGCAAACCGATACATCACCAAGAAATCTGCTCAGAAGCAATTTATTCTTGAGAGCGGATATGTCGACTGAGTCAGGAGCTGGAGCTTGATGGACCTAGTATGGATTTTAAATGGACCGATCAGATTATAACATCTAATCACTCTACCTTCCGTTGTGCAATTTTCCAGATTGCAGGTTCTTCGCTAGATGAAGAGTCAAAATCAGATTTTAACTGAGTTATTCGTTTAGGATTAAGTAGAAGTGGAATGTCTAAAATCTCATTTAGCCTCATTACACCATATTCAAAAAATTATTGAGTACTTACCTTTCTCAAGCATTGGAGTATTTTTGATAGGTGATGGCGCATAACGCAATACATTGTCATTTGTTAGAAGAATGGGAGAAACACCACATAAGTCCATATCCAGAGCTGATCGCGTAGTGTCCAGAGTGATTTGGTACTGACGAGTCAAAGCCTCAGTATCCCATAAAGACAACTCACTAAAGTTTTGGTCTCAGGATAGATTTCAAAAGGCAGAAAAAATTAGAGAAATACCAACCGCGGATGCAACACTGCGAGTGTATGGTCACCAGCAAGACGCGAGAATGTCATTCGCACAACGGGAAACCTCGAAGCGCGAACATGCCGTGACTGGCGACGACCAAGATCCCAAATCTTCAAGTTGTTCGAATTTAATAAGAAGATTTACATGGATAGGAATAATGACAAAAAAGTAACAAAAAAAAAGGATTCTATGAAAGTAACTTCACTGACAGATATCTTATCAAAGTCAACTCACTATGATCCTTCCTTCTGCGTCACCCATTGCCAACATTTCATCTTTCCAAGCCATATTTCTGATTGACCAACCTCCACTTTTCCACTGAAATCATTTGGAAAATAATGTAGGGAAGCAAACCTAAGACGAACTCAATCCCGTCCCTCAACTCAAACCTTTCCCATGCAAGAGGTATTCATCACAATAATGGCCAAATTTCCAGTTGTAATGGACAAATAAAAAAAATTATCCCTTTTTCGGAAAACATGACAGAGGGTGAAACATACCAGCGCATTTCCTAAATGACCCAAGCTGCCTTGGGTCTCATCATGATCAAAATACTAAAAATTTGTTAGGCTGCAGGACATATGTTAGTGAAATTTCAGAAAGAAAAAGATTATGATATAGAACTCACCTGAGTATTCACTTCTTTTCCATCTTTAACGTGGAGACCCTTGACCACAACGTGATACAAGCGAGTCTCTGAAAATTCGATTTAAAAAAAGTTCAAGCATAAATTTTATTACCTGAGTCGAGAACTACGAGATTCTCGCGATAGACGCTTATCCCTCCATCCTCTGTTGTATTCATCGCACGGTGTTTAGAAGACCATGCCTGGAAGGTCGTCTCGTATATGTTAGCCTAACACTTTCTCAAAGATTAGCGCATCACATCTCCAGTAAAAAAACTTAGAAACATCACGGAGTATCAGTTGAGGAAAAATGTTACCATGTCGACAATGAGAGGACAGGTCTTGCTCATTCGCCGTAAAAGACGCAGGCCTTTCAAGTCCCAAATTTCGAGTGGCTCACGTTGGAAAGCAAGGGCCAAATAGCATCTTAATGATAAAGGGAAATGGATGCAAATCTAGAAGCATAAAACAGACATTGACTTACTGATAATATGATACTCGAAGAAGAGTGACAGGCGACTCATCAGCTTCAGGTCTGATCCGTCGTTTTACCCCTTAAAATTTTGAGAGTATTCGATTGAACCGAATCAGATATCTGCTCACCTGTCCTTATGTCAATAGCGTATATGTCATTTTTAACCACATGAGCAGTACTGAGAGAATGGTTATATCCAGCGGTAAGGACTGTGTAGTTGCCGCCCCATTCCAGGCATCTAAAATGGAAGATTTGCTCTCAAGTTCATGTGATTTGTACATTTCTGTGTAAAAGCAAAGATCTAAAGACACAACCAAATGCCTAGACTCACTTAATGGGAGAGCTTTGTATAGCAAATTCTTTGACAATATCACATGTAAACACGTCAACAAGGTGAAGAACACCAGCATGTGAGCCAACAGCCAAGATATGGGCTGATTTGAAAGAAGCGAGGTCTGTAAGTGTAACTTTCGAGATCAGACTTTGCCTGGAGAACACTCAGAGCAAGTAGAAATGATAAGTGAAGATAAATAAGCGAGATCTACCTAAAGACTCGTCGGTTTCCTTGCCGAGACCATCTATCGGTCGCATTCGAAGACAAGATACTCCGGAAGACAATGCATCAAGAAAACCAGTTTGCTGGATGCTGAACATGAAAAACTCTATTGATACTTAATCGATATACCTCATTTCATGAGTGGAAGTAAGATTATTATCTCCTCAGCACTAATCCTTCACCATTCCAACATTGAAAAAGAGTTCTAAGTACTACTGACCTCAGTTCTCCTATAGGGTTGGTCTCCAAATCGCTTCCAAACGCCAGATAATCCTCGATGAAAGATTGACGATAGTCAAGGACAGCAGACTTATCAGATATCTGTACGTTGAATTATTTCCAACAAAAGCGAAGTCAAAAGGATGATGTCATCGAATAATTCTACACAAAATAAATACACAATGTAAATAGACTCAAGGCGTACCAGCTGCCACAAAACTATTCTTCCACTGTTGAAGAGCACTGCTACAGAGCTCTGAGTGACTGGACAAAGACATGCACCCACGGCTCGTTGTTGGTTTCCCTGACGCTGGATTTCACCGAATGCCACCTAATAAGAAGCAGCAATATAGAAATTAGCACAACACCCTCATGAGCTACTAACCCTCTCTAGCGCAAACTGTGCATCTGCTCGTTCATCATTAGATGAATATTTTCCAACTCTTAGCGACACAGCCCCACCAGCTTGTACGGAAAATATTGCATCGCGTGAAGAACAGCAGAGCCACGCAATGATATTTGGTTCGTGAGTCATGGAAAACAACACCGCAAAAAGTTCGGTATGAAAGCAATGCACCTAAAAAGCGATAATCATGGTTTGAAACTTATTTCAAAATAAAAAAAAACGGCATCAAGGAGGCATCAAAAGTAAATAATGATTAAAGAACAGTCAATATGAGGGAAAAAAACTCTGAGAACATTTTGGGTTGAGTAACGAGAACTCACCTGTGATTGAGTAACAACGAAGAGGGTATTGCGATAAGCATTATGATATACGAGGTTTTGTATGCTTGTGGCAGATTTGATCTGATCCTCGCATATCACAACAGTTCGGCAAGTACTAGACGGAGTATTATTGAAGCTGATATCAGAGCATAACGCAATATTGCATCCTAATGAGGAAACTGAAAATATCATCGAACGTTCGGAATGATATTGAGACCAACGAAGAAAAAAGAAAAGCATCAACAACAGGATGAACCCGAATGATATGAACTCACATGAGGCATGGCACGGGTCGAAAGGATCGATTGCTAGATCAAAAAGTGGGACGTTATATGAGACAGACCAGATTTTCTCTCCATTATCTGTGTTCCAAAGAATAAGAGTATCTCCAGAATGGAGTGACAAAAGAAAATCGCGGCTCATGTCCTTCCATACAAACCACTTCATACCTAGATTGAAAGACTGCCAAGTACGAGTATTTTACGAAAATAGTGAAACTCACTGAGCACATTGGTGGACGCGTGAGAAAATTGGCATCTCTTCGATGCTGAAATTGGCTCAGAAATTATAATTTGTCCACCAATATCCGATGACGCGATCCGATAATCCTCTATGCGAGACTGTTCGATGATCGAGAACGGAGGTGACCAACAGACCTGGAAATCTCGAATTTTTATGACAATGAAACAGCAAGGTGATCTCAAAAAAGAAGAAACAGAATAAAGAAAGAAAAGTGAGCGAGGAACTTACATGATCAATAGCTGTGCTATGTAAATCTATGGTTTGCACACGTTTACAAGTGAAAGCATCAATGATGAAAAGGAGGTTGTGAGAGCCATAAACAATCGCACCTTTTGTGTTCCTAGAAATTTGACAAGTATACCTGACATATTGTAGGCAGAAAACTGAAAAAAAAGGAAAACCAAAGTTGCAAAGAAAGCAAACTTACCAGTCTATTGTATTTCGATTGCTTGGGTGGAGACCACCAGGTAATGTGTTCGGCATTTCACAGCGGTGTGATGGTGGTGTCTCAGGACATGGGTTCTCCTGAGAATTCATAATCCGTAGGTAGGAACACCAGAATGAAATGAAACGCGATCAGTTCGACAAAGGCCGACTATGATCTGACTCATGGATATAAAAATCAATGCGATCTATGGAGCAAAGCGGCTGTGGAAAAATTACTAATCGCTGACCCCACTAAACAAACAATTTCTATTTCTTATTTCTTTGTTAGCTCATCTGACACTGAAGTGATAATTCCATATCCTGAGGTGAAAATCAGTTGATGAATTGAAAACATAAATGTTTTGAAACCCAGCGAACTGATTATGAGAAAACCTTGGTGCCGGCTACAGCAACAACAGCATTTATAAGAAAACCTATTCAGAACTTCGGGCGGAAAGATGGTCTTTGATGCATTTTGTCGAATAAACCAAATTCGGCAAAAATACCTCAAGAAGTGGCAGTTCCCCCCGAACTTAGCAAGCCAAGTTACGCTTCACTAAACTTAGTCAGACTACAAATTATGTCTTGAGAACTAATAGCACTTGGTAGAGAGTTCACAAGACAAGTGCTTTCCCTATCCACATTGTGCTGCTAATAAAAAAAGGAACGGTAAGAACTTTCGGAGCTGAAATCATGTAGAAAACATAGAAAGGAATGTAGGGGGTTGATTCCGTCAAAAGAAATTCAACAACTTCACAAAACCGGACAAAAGAAGCCCTTGGATATCCAAGATCAGCAGACTCAGCCATTTTTTGAATGCTTGGCAGATGCTGGAAGCCTTCGCAAAAAATATGGGCTGATAAAAATAGCTACAGCCAGCTGCAGTGGCTAGTTTCTTTCACCAAAACGACAAAAAGAACAGGTTCTGCACCCACTATAGAAAACAAAAAATAGAATGCTCAGTCATTCGGCAGGAAATTACTGCGAAGATCGAAATATGGAAGCTTAGTGCTGCTACGCATTGAAACACGATGCATTGTCGTTTTGTGTCGTATCGCTTTGTTTGTTCAAGGCTTCGCAGAGAATTTGGAGACGCAGGTGACAATGCTGCCTTTTTTAGTGTCGGCGAAGCTGGTTTTGACACTTTTTTGGAGTCAAAGACTAGTTTTGCTAGTTTTGGCATACTTATAAGCATGAGCACAATTTGAAGCCGTGCTACGCCACGATAAAACAGGTCGTACCCTGCTGAGGTCTCATTATGGCAAAAGCATGCAATGGTGCATTTGCGGACAGAAAAGTAAATGCCGCTCTGCTTAGAATGGCAGCTGAATGTGAACAACATATGATCCGTTGGTTACTATCATTCCACAAATGCTGCTGCCCCTCGCATGCTATCTACAACGTGCAAGAACATGTTGGCAGCGCCAACATGTTGTAGCATGTTGCCAACACACCAGCCACGCGTGTCACGGGCAATGACGCAGAGCAAGAGTAGCAGCTTTGTGGGAGGGGGGGGGGGGGAGGATACAATATGAGCGTCACCATTATACACGAACTTCCGTCGACAAGAGAAATCTTCAATAGCGATGGCGGAGTCGACAGAATGACGTTGATACAGCTACTCCATCCTCCCCCCCCCCCGAAAATCCATATCGGGATCCCTTCGAAGGGGTCCGAAAAGGCACTCGACCTCAGTAGGTGATGGTGTCATTGGACCATAGCAACGGGCATGGGAGATGGAAGGATTCCCTCAGAAGCAGCCTGGGAGCCTTCGAGCCTTGGAGAGAACCACCGACCAACTGACGGACCCGAAGCTTCGAGCCCACTTGTTCGACTCAACCGTTCTCCCGACGCTCTGTTACGCAGCTGAGACTTCGGTCGACATTGTAGTCACATCGAAAGCTCTGCTTTGCACCCACGGAGCGCTTGAGCGCAGCCTTCTGAAGATGACCCGACACAAACAACACTTTGTCGGACTTCGCAGTGCGGATTTTAGAAGAATGTCTTGTCTTCTTGACCCAGCAGAATACGTTGTGAAAGCGAAACATGGGCGGCCAATCACATCATGAGAAGAACAAAGACAGATGGACTTTAAAGGCAGACCGGGCAAGATAGGAGCTTTGGAATTTCAGTGCCATGCGAGAGAGGCCCCCTTCAGACAAAACATCGCGCAAGTGCGACGTATAACGCTCGACCTAAAAGAATAAAAACGAACGAAAAGTGAGGAACTTACGCCTTGGGGCGGGGTCCACTGAGCTGTCCGAATTCCTGCTATAGTAGTTACCAGAGTAAGCGAATATTTTGTTCAGGTTGGAGTCTCGCGCAGAACGTCACTTGGATTGACGCCAGCATGGTGAGAGATGTCAATTCTGCGCGGAACCCCAACCTGAACAAAATATTCGCTTACTCTGGCACCTACCTGAGGCTGCGCTCTTACTGAGCTGAAAATTCGGGAACAGTTCCAGCACAACGCTCGGACTGGGCGCTGTGCTGGAACTGTTCCCAAACTTCGGGATCAGTATGAATGCAGCCTGAGAAACGTCAATTCTGCGCGGGACCCCAACCTGCACAAATACGCACGCCACCACTAAAATGTAGGGTCCCGCAGTGACTCTGCGTCTCTGCCTTGGTGGGCCGTCAAATTTCAAATCGCGCGCTTTGGAAAACGTATGTTCTCGCCGTTTTCGCGCTTTCTAATGTGGATTTTCGGATTCAGCGTTGCGGATACCCCCGGTAAGTGAATTTTCCAGAAATCGAGTTCTTGCCCGGACGCTGCCTTTGAAGGCAGTGGCTCGTCAAAATCGAACACCTCGAAATTTTTATATGGAAAGTTGCTTGCACCCCAAACACGGAAATGGAGCATGTCCGAGCGACAGCATGCAACCCCTACCTAGAAAATTGCCCCTAAACTCATGCGCGCAAGCCATTCTTACGCGCGCTCGGACGCGCGATATCCCTCAGCCGTCAGGGGCGGCATGCCGTAATGCTATAAACATGAGGGTCCCAACGACTCCGCGTCTCTAATCATGGCGAGGAGCGTTCCACTCGTCCAAATTCAAAATGAGGGAGCTTGGGAAATGCTGGTTTTCACCATTTTCGCGCTATAAAAAGAGGATTTCCGGAATCAGAGCGTCGAAACCCCAGGTAAGCGAAAAAACCAAAGGTCGAGGATTTGCCCAGCCACTGCCTTCAAGAAAATCGGAGGGGATTCCTTGCGAGGCGAAACGTCCCCGGGGAAGACCTTGCGAGATGGGCAGACGTGTTCATGTAACGGATGGACCAGCTGAGAAATCAGTTGGATACGACATTTTGCCCATGGAACTCGTGGACGCAGCCACCAATGACAACCAAGAAGAGATGTCCGAAGCGAGGGACAGAGATCACTGGAAACTTCTGCGCTGGGACCCGCACGTCACGTAAGGACGTCTTGTCCATTTGTTTGACGCAACCGTTCTCCAAACGCTCTCTAACGACGATAAGACTTAGGCTGATACTGCAGCCTCGAAGGCTTCGCGGATCGCTTACAGAGCGCTTGCGTGCAGTTCTCCGATGGTTACCCGACATGGGCAACATCTCGCTGAATTGTCGCAGTGCAGATATGAGAAGAATATCCCGCCGTCGTGACCCATAGAATAAGTTACGAAGGCAAAGCGCCTGTGGGTCGGACATATCACTCAAAGAACGAGCTATAGGAACACTAAGAGACTCTAGCGGCTCCGCAAAGCAAAACGCCCCCGAAGAAAACAAAGAGATAACAAATCCGTTCCACAAATATGTCTGTAAAATCAGCTGGGTGCGATTTTCTACCTAAAACTCTTGGACTCAGCCACCGATGGCTATCAAGAAGACCGTGGATGTCAGAAGCGAGGGAAAGAGACAACTGACAACTCCTGTTTTGGGCCTGCTCACAGGTCATTGATGTAAGTTGCTTGAATGTGGATCTCTGACGCTTTTCGATTTCTGCATCAATTAAGATTCAAAACATTGTAGATATTCAATGTAGACACAAATTCAGTCACACCTAAATTTGATCAATTTCTCAAACACTTATGAACATCTGGTAAAATCTGATTTTTCATTTTTAGGCCATTCCCTCGCTAATTTCTAGCTTAAAAACAGTAAAGTCTCTAAAATTACTTCTTCTGACCAAAGACATTGTCAGAAATAGAAGACTTGCCCTTCAACCAATCCACAGATATTTATTGGAGAAAATCTCTACCATATAAGAATGGGAACATATCACTAGAATTTTACAACCCATGCAAACCTCCAAACATTCCCAAAGGCGAGAAAGGGGGAGGGAGACATGTACATCTCCACAACTGCCAGTGGAATCCATACGCACGCATGACTTTTCGACTGTTTTTCTCAAAGTAGTCGTTTGGTAGCTCTAACGTAAGATACACAATTTTAATTTTCCCTTTTCATTATATGATTTTATTGTGTGATCGACACATAAGCACGTACGTATACTTAATTGCAAACATAGAGCTGTTTTCTCCTTGCCGTAAATGCCACAACCGCACTGCGGACATGCGCCGATGTCATGAGACTACGTTAGCAGTAAGCAACTGTAACAAAAGTGCTTAAAACGCGAATAAAAAGCACTGACACAGCATCGCTAACCTGCCCGCAGTTATGGCTTTTGGAGGCAGGACAATGGAAAGTAACAATGCATATAAGAGGTAGATGAAAGCAAAGGACACAATTGACTAAATTTATAGTGAAAGTGAGCACGCAGAAGACATAAGGAGTCAGAAATTCTTACATCAGTCATCTTGCACATAGAAACAAAGCAATGAGAATTCTATGGCAGTCCATCAGGTTTGTATATTTAGGTGGTGACTCGCTATTGATTTGCCCATATATTCAACCGGTGAATGACTAGTGGCAAGTGCAAATATATTTCAAATCTGCATGGATGAAGAGCTAGCATATGATATGTCATGTTTTGAAAGTTAGATAAATTCATAGAAAGCATAATAACGCTATGTAAAGGATGAATGGGCTACCATCGGTGCACCCATGCTGCGCAATACTCGGTCAATCCATTGCAATGGTCCATTCAGATGAGCCTCGATCCAGCATGGAGTTGCGTCAATCTGAACAACAATGGAGATTGAATCCTAAAATCTTAAAACATAGATGGCCATTACTGAACACTCACCGTTTGCCTCCTATAATCAGCTCCCCAGCCTTTTACGAAGGAGATACGGATTGTACAGAGTCTAGTAAGAGCAAATACAGCTTCGTAACCTTTCTCGACAGATTCAGCGAGTTGTGCCGCGAATTCGGCATTGTTGAATATTTTCAAGTTGCAGTTGGGAGGAATCTATAATTGCGTTGGTAGAAAACATCATGCACTTGAAGGATAACACACATGGAAAGATGTGAGTAGCATTCAGCAACAAAATTCCAAAGATAACACGTAAAACAGAAAGCGAAATTTGAAGGAGTAAATTACGCAGGTTATTGCGAACCAACCTTGCATACAGTGGTAGGATGCCAGCCATGGCGTTGATTGCAATTAGGAGATTGGACGAAAACAGCTGCATCAGACAAACACTCGCAGTATACCTAGATTACCATCATTACATATTAGCTTTAAATTGCTAGGAATCCACAAAGATTTCTTTGCAAAAAACGTCTTAAAACAGAGTTATCAAACATTAAGCGCGTATATCAAGTGATCATAAGACCATATCACAAACATGATGCGACTTTTAAACGAACACATAGCTTGTTATACGCAATACAAGGCGAAAAATCATTCCATGATTGAAAGAAAATGCGCAAAAATAAAGCGATTTCTTACCTCTCCTCCAATATAGTAAAACCTTGCCCCTCTGCCAACCTGCCGTCGTGCATCTATAACTGTTAGCGGTCGATTTTCGACATCAAAATATCCAAGGCAAAAACTAAAAGACCCTAGATCATCCCCGCAAATGAGTGTAGTATAAGTAAATGGAAATACCGACCGCTCCTCTGAACTCGGTGAAGGATAGCCATCAACTAGTAGATAATGAGACCTAACATTAAATGGATCGCCGATTCTCTTGCCCTCTTCGTAGTATGTGATGGACATCCAACTTTCCGGCTCACAGTATTCGATCAGCTCTTGTACCACTAAAAAGGATTCGGAGTAGATGTGTCTTGCCAAAAAAAATACACCCTACTTCACACTCAAATAAACTGTACTGACTCATGACATTTTAAAAGGATATGGATCGACCTATACTGATAGATAGCTTATTGAGCGTTTCCGCAAATACCGTAGTAATATCGCTTGGTGTTACCGTACGAAACTTTTACTATTAAGACGGAAAAATGTGGGTGCAACATTACTCTTAGCTAAAAAAAACATTCGGAACATAAGCAGGCGACAGCACTGACGTCAGAATGCAAAAGTGTAAGCATGTGGTGGTGCAATGATGGTACGCAAATGGACAGTTGCTGATATGTGCGCGAAATGTTATGATGCACTAGCGTTGGTTTGATGTCGCCGACGCGCAACCAAATGTCAAGTGCGCGTAACTTAGTGTGCCACGATTGTTTCAGATCACACACATCTTGAGTCGCTTCAATATTTAAGCGACAGCCGCAACTCAATGGCATTCCCCTAATTTTTGAAGATAAAAAGCAAAAGAAGGCATATTCACTAGAGCTAGGTAATAATTTGAAAAACTCACTGTCCGCTCCTGTTGGCCTCAAATAGCTGGCAGTCAATGAGTGATTATGGTCATCACTCGTATCCATCAACTCATGTTCATCATCGCGATCTTCGCTCAGATACGAATTTGGACTGATCGGTGACGATGCTGCGGTCGAACTACGACAAGAATCATAAAATTTTACCGTGAAGGTTCAAATACATACCCAATGGGTGGAGGAGATGTTGAGTTTTGAGTGCTAAATCTCTCATTTCGTGAAGCAATTTTCGCAGCTGATGGGATAGCTGACGACGATGTGCCCGGAAATCCGAGTGCAGGGGATGTAGAGGTTGGGGATCCCATGTAACTGCTGGTAGGGGAGCTCTCTTCCGAAAGATAGTGTCCACGCATTTCATCCACGCTGATGGTTGCATTCGGTGCTCGCTGGAGAAAAGTAGATTGAAGAAAAAAAGCAAAAATGAGGCTGAGGAAAGGAAGGCTATATGGTTAAACTTACATCCTCCAGATGTTGAGCAGCAAGACCATGATTTGTCAGAGCAGCAATGGCGCCAGGAGTGACCTGATAGTACCCAGCAACTTTGTTGACCACTACTGGTGGAAGAGCTGGAAAAACCGCAAACTGTAGCATTATTTTTTGTGCGATTTTGAAAACAGAAATGCTCGAACACGGTAATATCGTCATATCGCCAACAACACGTGGCAAAAACTGATTGAAAAGCACAATGTTAATGGACGACATTTCAGGAGATTCAAAGATCAACAAAAAAACCTGTTTTTTCAATTGAAAATAGAAAACTAATAACCTACGCGGAGCTTTGGCATGAATTGGCTCATAATGGAACGGATTAATGCAGATAAGCTCTGCTTTCTTTGCAAATGGATAACGACAATTGTCCACGGCTTTCAGCTCATGGTGAGATCTAAAATATAGTGCTAAATAATGGAGAAAACGCCACATGTCTTGAGCTGTAAACAGCAGAAAAACACAACAAGTCGGAAAATGATGGCTTCTAAAGTCAAAATTAATGGCCTAGCTTCGACAGCAAACACATGACTGGAAACAGCATGCATACGAAATAGCACGTAAAGAGTGTTCAAGATATTCAAGACCTCAGTTAAATAAGTTATCATAGAGAAGCTTTTGTTTTAAGGGCCGCATGCACTAACCTCCCCGCTGGGGAGGGGATCGCAGCTTGAAAGAAAGCTTTATATTATGGAACTCCAGATACCTGGATTTCACGTTGTGTACCTATCTGTAAGTATTCCTACTATCCTTCACTATGAACATGTTGAGCAGGAGCGAGAAGCTGTAGGAACCACATTTTCCCGCTTTTGTATGATCCCTGATGATCCCCGGCGCTTTTCTTTAAAGTCATTTTTCTTTCTCCGAAGTTTACGAAAACTTTGCAAAGCTGTACTGAACATCTAACACAACAGTGCTAAGCATGTTGCTAATGAGAACAAATGAGTTTCTGAAAAGTCGATTTTTTCGGTAAGCCTCAAATTTCGACCTGCGGATCATCGAAAATTCCATCACTTCAAAATATCATTTGTTCTTATCACGAACATGCTTAGCACTGTCGGGTTGGATAATCTGCACAACTTTGGAGGTTTTTCGTTAACTTCGGAGAAAGAAAAATGACTTTAAATAAAAGCGCCGGGGATCATCAGGGATCATAAAAAAGCTGGAAAATGCGGTTCGTACAGCTTCTCGCTCCTCTTCAACATGTTCATAGTGAAGGGTAGTACGAATACTTACGGACAGGTACACAACGTGAAATCCAGGTATCTGGAGTTCCATAATATAAAGCTTTCTTTCAAGCTGCGATCCCCTCCCCAGCGGGGAGGTTAGTGCATGCGGCCCTAAGTCTCACAAACAACGAAACTGATAAATTTCAAGTAAAAAGTTTAAAAAAACTTACTTTAGCCATGGAAATCGCCACATCTTTATGTAAAGAATATGAGGTCGAGCTTTCTTATGAGTTTTCTTTTTATCTTGCTCTCTAGAAAGAAAAGATATTAGTCCACATTTAGAAGGGGATTCGTGAGAAGAAAAAACAACTTACGCAGGAATTGCAACACAGTCCGTGAACTTATCCTCATTGACGATTGCTTTGGCCAATTCTTCAAGGCATTTTGACTTTTTTAGTCGTTTTGCTAATGTCTTTATGACATTTTCAGCCCAAGCTGGATCATCCTGAAAACATACTTGCAAACTATGCAAGAAAGAGATATCACTAGAATCAAGAAAAAACTACTTGCAAGTGGAAATAGCATTTGAAAATATCGGATACAAAGTCTTACTAACATTTCCTTCGTGCGAGATTGTTTCCGTCTTGACAAGTCCACATAACTGTGCTATAGTTTTATTAGTAGATGAGCTTGATTCAAATAGTGATCGCATTATGGGGCAAATTCAGCAGAGATTATCGAACAATACATACAAACACAACCTGAAACATCGAGTCATCCGAACCAGAGAAAAAAAAATATGAAAATAAATGACTCGGCAATAGTATGTAGATCTATTTATAGGATCTTCTAAGACATCAGAAATGAAAACAAAAATGAGATGCAAAAACGTATCAATGGCCATTTTGCGCGATCGTCACTAAAAGAATTGATGTTTATAGCCGAAATGTGCGCGCACCATGACAGCATGCGGAAACAGGATTGTTTTATAGGTTTGTTTTCTGATCAAGCATATCAAATGCGTGGGAATCGCATATGGAGAAAATCAGAAATTACATTCACGTAGGAGGACCTTCGAATTACGATAAAAGAAAATAGCAGGTGTTGACTAACAAATAGACTGTAATAACCTATATGAGTTCTCTGTTATTTTGAGCTTCGAATGCTGCTTCCAAATCTATTTTTCTCAACTGCCGAGCGCTTCTGACTTGAGTTATTGCGTTTTTGGAACAAAAAATGCCTGCCAAACCTAGGAGAAGTCGTTACGGTTCTTCCTCAAATAAAGCAGTTCGAATACAAGTTTACTAGACAAAGGGTGTCTATTGCCTAATGCCTTTATATTCGACATTGGGCCATTTACGCAGAATATGGACAATTTTGCCTCATTGTCGTTGCTTCTTCAACCAAAACATGCCCATCACTCGGTCCCCAGGCGTTCCGCAGGTTAAAATGTAAATCAGATCTAGAAGCGGCATACAAAGCTCAAAATGTCGTAAAATTTATTTGGAATACCAGTTTCAGATGAAACCTTTTCTTGTAGAATTATCAACGCTATATATAGACTCAAAATGATGCAAAGCGGATTAGTGGAAGTCGTAAGACTTTGACTGTACACCACAAGTGTTGCCCGCGTTACCGGTTTTACTCGTGTTATCAGTGTTACCCGTTTACTACTCGGACAGAGTACACGCGATTTTATCGTCTCGCGATTCTCCACAAGACAACTGCTACGAGACCAGTGCATGCTTGCATTTCACTTGTGGTAGTCTTCCGACACGACCAATCGTGCCTAACTATGAAATGCAACATGATCGGCATACAGTGGACTCGTAACAGTTGTCTAATGGGAGAATCGCAAGGCGATGAAATCGCATGAACTCTGTCCTAGGCCTAACACGAGTAACAAGCACGGGTAAAAAGGGTAACTAACACCGGTAACACGAGTAACACTAGTAATGTATGGTCAAAGCCTAAAATACATCATTGCAAGTTTCACGCATTTTTTCGCATTCGATGTTCAGTTTAGTCACAGATTTTTAGTCACAAAATATAGTCACACCTTGCTTGTAGCGGAGAACTAGCACTGAAATAGAGCAGAAACCGAAGAAATTCAACATCGAAGGCTCGGCAGAACAACAATGACAAGAGCCTCTAGGAAGAAGTTTATCGTAAAAAAAGTGTGTGAATGTGTTTTGCGACTCGACGTGTGTGCTATGATTGGGAGAGGGGAACGAGAGCGAGAATCCACGTACACATCAAAACAACAACAGAAAGAGCGAGCAGGCGGTCGATAAGTGCGAGAGAGAGCTGTGCGTTCGTCGTATTTGCAGGGTTCGCCTCTCGCCTCTGATAAACTCCCACTGATTGCACAATGTTCGGCAACTGTAAGGCCATTTTTTCAAATGATCTGACACCCACTTACTAAGCCAGTTTGATCAATATCAATGACTCATTTTCGTCATTGGCGAGCCCATAATGGTTATGAAACCATTGATTTCATCTAGGTATTTTGCGAATAAGACAAAGACATAGTTCAGGGGACTTTGAGTTACAAAAACTTCAATCATCACCTATTTCGGCAAATGTGCTCATAATTACTAGGGAATCAAAAGGCTAAAAAAAAAACAACGTGACGTAACATTTGCTGAAATAACAAAAACTACAAATTGAACCGAAGTATGACTAAGCATGGGGCTTTGCTATAAACAAACTTTGCGATTTCTCTTTTGAGCAAACCTTACTTGGAAACAGACAGCCCAAATAAAATTGTTAATTTTGAGATAAAACAAGTGCAAATGCATTCCCTTACAAACCGCACACATGAGCTGTGTAAACGGCTTGCCCATTATATGCAAATTCTAGAATCAAAAAGTGAATAACAATTCCGAGAAACAACAAAATTTGGGGAAGTAGCATTTTCTAGAAAACATAGAATAAGCAATGATTGGCATGTGCTTGTGCTGTGCAGCTTGCAAGCTATAAATAAACTCTGCATGCTTGAAAGAACGAAGCAATAACAAAGTTTGAGAAAAGGCTAGAAACAGAATCACCTGACAGTCAAACAAGCGAAAATGTTACACACAAACTATCACAGCACAACGCCCCGCTAATCAGATGATTATATTAATGTTTGAACAAGGAAGAAATAGGAATTTAACTATGCAAAAAGGCATTAGCTTATCAATTGATTTGAGTATTTGTTGCTTTTTATAGTAAGAAATTTGGAAGCTAAAAGCATCAGCCGCCTTCGATTGATATGTTTGAGCTGTTAAGCAATTAGAGTCAAGATCAATTCTATGCAGGTAATAATCCTAGACTGGATTAAGTAGACCGTAAACTAAAAATCAAGGAGAAGTTCACAACAAGAAATCTCCAACTAATGAAGGAAAAATTCAAGTCACACTGACCATTTGAATCAGAGTACAATGAGCGAGTGGCACAGGCTAATAAATACTCAGATGAACTCTGACGCGAACAAAGATTCTAGAACATCTAAAAAAGCGCAGTCACATGAAAATGCTGTGAAAATCGACAACGGTATATACATGAACTTCACTATTCTTTGATTACCCGACGTAAGACCAGGAAGTTCCCGAATTATAAATATGTCAGTCACATAGATTTATTGAAAAGTTTCAGAAGTTAAACATGTGCTGAAGTGGCATAACAGCCGAAAGAGGATAATAGTCGGATTGCAAGGAAGTGATATCATGGATGCGATAAAATGAGATGAAGTAAGAAAGTAGAAAAAAATCTATCTAAAAACAATTTTTTTTCTCAAACTGACGACATAAATTCAATAAAAAATAATCTACTTCTGAACGAATACCTGCCATAATTCAGGATTGGATAGTAATGTGAAACAATGAAAGCTAAAGACTTTTTTTAGCATTTTCCGACCTCATCTCGAATCCACATCAGAAGAGGGATATTGTACTGAGACTACCAAACCAAAAGTAAGAAAAAAAATGGCTTGCGACCAATGAATACCATTCAAATCCAAAATAGATATTTATAAAGGAATTTTTTAAATTAGAAAGAGCCCCAAGTTTCATCAAGGAGAAACGTGCAAGGCTGCGCGACAAAGCCGCCGAGCACCTTGTTCTGATTAGAGCAAACCTTTACCTATTACAACGTTATAAAAGCGGAAAAGTATGGAAAACTCTTGAAGGAATTTCCAAATCTTTCATCATGCAACTACAAGCTCCGTCCTAGCAATCTGATAATGAAGATAATCCCATTTTTGCAAGCAAAACAGATGTGAAGCAAAAAGCAAAGATGGTGCGCCAGCGCAAAACACAACGTTTTGTGCAAATGCACCACCGATTGTTGATTGTGAAAACAGAAAAACTAATGTTGTCAAAGCGCTCGAGGAAGTGGCATTTACAACCAGGAAGTAGATAGCGTCCGATATGTGTGATTCTACAAAAGAAAACATATCACACGTCATCCACACGGAAATTTTCGCAGGTTCACAGATATGCAGTTTTTGCAGCTTTTTGTGAATCGTAGAGAGCGAATTTCTGAACAAAGAAAGATCTATTATACCCTTGGCGCTATTTCCATTTTTATCTCAAGGATCAAATTCCTACTTTTTTAAATTTGCTAGAATGTGAACGGGGCGCGCATGTTTGAAACTTGCACAAATGAGAAGTGATTCAAATCAGACAAAACATTACAAAAGTTGAAAGTTTTCATGAATATTCTGGGGTAATGCTAAAGTTAATTGAGATGTGAAGTCCATCATGTACCAAAGATTGAATTTTCGCACTCTGGTTTCGGGGCTTGAACTAGACCAGAAGTGTGGCCAACCGGCGCCCCTCATCAGTAATTCACAGGAAGGCTTCCAAGAGTCTTGGTTACCCGATCTCTCTTTGCCTTTGCCTCTCTCCAATTTGACTTTCGTCTTGAGCTGGAATCTTGGCGTCTAGGAGAATGTTCTACTTATGTTTTCAACTTTCTAGGCTCTGACGAAGGCGATCCCGCCAAAACAGCGGGATCGCCTTCGTCAGAGCCTAGAAAGTGGCCGTGAATAAAGTGTGGCTGATATCTTGGTCGACGCTCAGCAAGCTTAAACGCTTCCAAAAGTGATATGAAATAATAAGAAGAATGAAGAGTCTTATGAAATAATGAAGAAGTAAAAGAATGTGAGGATGAAAGTGGAATGGAAGAGGAAGCAGTATAAGACAATCAGATAAGCATAAATGAGTGCTGACCCGTAAAGTCCCCTGGTTATTCCCGCCTGTGTACTGCCCGCTCCCCTGCACAAACCAAAGGTAAGTGATATGGTTTTGACCACCTTCTAGACCAACCCCTCTATCATGTTCTTGCGAAATGCATGATTTAAGTTCCGTGCAATTATAGTGCAGTGCCAAAGGCTGCAAGATGCACATATTCATTCCCTTGTGCAGAATACTTGTGCACCGTCAGATTTCGAACAAAATCTTAACTAGCTTTCAGCGTTGGAACATTTGACAACATTTTTTCTAGAAATATGGGAAGCGCTAATGACGTCCAATGCACTCAAAAAAATTCATAGCAAGCATTCATTCAGAAGGGGTAAGATTTCTGGTGAGAACAACAGCGATGACGTAAGAAGTAGAAGCTGTTTTTAGTACACACTTTTAAGCGTTAATCCAAACGGCAACAAGATTTGCATACAGTCGAGTAGATTTTCCGCTTAATATAGTGTGCTTGCACAGAAGGAGAAATGCGGTAAAATTTGCTCGTGAGGAAATAGCTTCGACTGTGACGCCGGCCAATTGCACGCGCAAAATGCCGGCAGTGGTGGCGCAGTCCTGTTCTCGCGCAAATTTACCACATTTCATAAACTGTGCAAGCACACTATATTAAGCGGAAAATCTACTCGACTGTACCTACATGCAAAGCTCGTTGACAGAACAGATTTCGCAGTCGTTGCACCGTTTGCTACAGTACCCCCACCGCGCCCAACAGGGTGTTCGTGGCGAGACCAGCGTACCTGCGAACTTCAAAATAAACCTAATGCAAAGCAGTTCTTGTCCGAGGTGGGCGTACAAGAACAACAAGGACGTCAGGAGATGAGCAGTTTTTTCGCACCTAATACAGGTTGATGTATCATACAGATTCTGAGTCTATTGGTTTCAAAACCGTTGTCTAAATTGGTATATTCGTAGTTACTTTGTTTTTTCTCTTACTTTCAGCCCTGGATCATCGTTCTTTCTCTCTTTCAAGGTTTCTACTAGGATAGCGAGCATATCAATGTTTCAATGAAGGCTCCCCAAGACTTATATTCCGGTCACTCCATTCTTCTAGTCTGAGTTTTCGCCATCTAAACGAATGCTGTTTTTTTTTTGTTTCAGTCCCTTCAGTTGTGATAAATGAGTGACTAATGAAACGTAAATATGATTATCCATATTTCTCACCTTCATTCACTTCAGTTCCTCAGAGAAACAGAAATCCTATCATAAGCTCTGACACTGACGATGCCAGCTAGTCAGTGTACTACCTACCGGCTACTACTCAGTGAGTGTAACTTGAATCGATGTGTTATATCTACGATCCAGAGGATCAGCAACACATCATATCAACTCCAAGTCCACTTTATGCGATTAGTAAGATTAAAGAAAGTAAAAGAGGACACCAACACCTTTTGTAGTCGCAATACGTTTATACTGTAAGTGCTGCAGACAGCATCGCAGGTTCTTTTTGAAGTTCGTGAGTGCCGATGGTCCTGCCAGCAAATAGCGGCCTTCGCTTTGCTACGAACGCATACACTTTCTAAAGCTGTTGCGTTAGGCTTTACTTTGGCATGAGCTCAGCGTCAATGGATGGGAAGACCTCAGCAATAGTTGAATTGTCTCACTATCTTGAGTTCTCAAAGTTATACATGGTGTAAAATCCAAATTCATGTCGTCACTCTTCCATGAACAAGACAATAGGTAAACTATACTAGGTTATATGGTAAAATGTAGCTTTCAACACCTATCAAGGTGATGTTATGCAGCTCAACAACTCATCAAGAAGGGCAAAACTCCGAACATCCTTAGTGCGACATTCATTCTTGGCTTTTACCAGCACCAGTTTCCGCAAGATGCTTCAAATAGAATATAAACAGAATAACAGCTTCTTTTGATTTCCGAGAAGTATCACCCACCTAAATAGGTTCTCAGTTTCTATGTATGATATATCGAAACCCTTGACTGATCTAATCCACACTTGATGGGAAAAGACAGTAATTTCCAGTAATCAGTTGAGCTTAGGGCAATTACGGTGAAATGCAAAGTGGGTTTGAAATGCGTATTTTCCCTTCTTCAAAATACTTGAAGTATCGATCCTAGTCTTTGTCGAGTAAACCACAGGTTCAAATCCTTGGCAATAAGTACGCAAATGCAGTTTAAAATAAAGGACGATGTGACTAACTCGGCTTCGAAGCCAGTGAGTTTAGTTTCCGGTCCCGCCACGAACAACCTGTTGGGCGCGGTAGGGGTAGTGTAGCAAACGGTGCAACGACTGCGAAATCTGTTCTGTAGCTCGTTGTGACTTGAGAAAGAAACGTACAAAGTATAGCTTATCGACATTGAGCTAAAGTCTCCAACAACACACTGCGAGCAAAGGATTGAGAGCGTTGAGTCGGGGGGGGGGGTGGAAGAGCAGCGAACTTTTTCCATACGTATTTTGGCAAGCGGTGTGCTTTTACCCACAACATGCTCGGAATCATGAAAAGAAAAACAAATTTGACGGGAAAGGTCTAGCGATGGTTACCACCCATACTACTCGCGACAACCGCTGGCCTAAGCTAGTGTTTGAGGCACTTGGACATTTCAAAGTAGCTTGCATAGGATTTGGAAGAGCGGAAAAACAGACAGACATTGGCGTAGTGCGCGCGCAATGGCCGCAGCCGGTACGACTGTCACGTTCTGGCAAGCGTGCAAAGCAGCACGCTCTTGAAATTGAAGTGTAGCAGACTTGGAAAAAGTACGGAGAAGACTGCTTACTGTTTTTTTCCGCACTTTTAAGTCTGCTATTCACTTCAATTGCTACGTTTGCTACGACCCCGGCTGTTCGGATGCTTGACTTGTGAAGTTGTGCGCAAACAGTACATTGACCAATTCAGCTTTAGAGCCATCGGTTTAGGAGACCAAAAAATAGAGTGAAGGAAAATTACTTGGCTTTCGCTAATGAGCGCAGCGGAATGAAACGAAAACGTCGCGACCTTGCCGCGCGGCGAGGCAACGTTGCCGCGGACGTCGCTACGGCAGCCGCGCCGCCGTTGGTGACGCCGGATTTGAAGCGTGCGACCTCTCGCTGATGGAGCGACCTCTTGGGATAAATCGAGCAAATCCTTTTGAAATCCGCTTCATTTCTCCCATTTCGGCTAAGTTTCACTATTTTTATTTGATAATGCCATGAAACCCACTTGATTTTGCTGTATTTTTATCTTTTTCATCAGTTTGGTTTTTCTGTCAAGATCTTATCTCTTTTTGGTCAACTGCGTCGATGTTTCAAATTTTCTTCGAGCGTTGGCTTGCAGAAGTTCGAATTTGTAAATATGTTATTGTTTTGAATTGCTGCATGAGCGTGCAATTCTTGCTTTCTAATTGTTTCGATCTTGAAATCACCGAAACACCAGCGGTTTTTGTTTGAAACTTGTTAGTTCAGATCTTACATCTTTTTCTTTACATTTTTTGGCACAAATCGTATAACTTATTCGAGAGTACCATCTACTCATTCACAATATACAGCTCTATACTTTTGTTTCCATACAAACTGCTGAGACCTCTGTTTGTTTCTGAGAACGGTGTCCCATTTTGAACAAGAAAGGTTCTTTCCTTATTGTCGGATTTCACAGCAAGATTAGAACTTGAGTGCTTGACTGTTTCAATTATAATATTTAGTATTCTCCTAATTAATCATATGCATATCATGCAACAAAAAAAATCCGTAAGTGGTTGAACTAGAGCACGTCTGAAACTTTTATGAGACTACATTCCTTCAATTATATTCAGCTTTACTTTCACTGTAAATCTATATCATTCTGTACTTATGTTTCATATGCAGCCTCCCAGCTTCTCATCACAAATAACACGATTTTCAGCTAGCTTGCTCATTTTTTTGCCATAACCTTTTTTCCTCTCCAAATGTTCTTTTCTAGAAAAGTGCCTAACCAAGTATGATCTAAGCTCTCTATCCGAGCCTTCCATTCAATCGCCTGCACTTTCTTTCACGTGGACGACGTCACCATGGCGTCATTCATGAAAATGTTCAAAAACAAAAAGGGATCCAATAAGGAAAACTTGCCCAATTTGGTAAGGTATACCCCAACTATAGCGTTAATTTTTCTATTTTTTCCTACATTTTTACTTTTGGCATTCACTTAAACTTCAAAAATTCATTTCAGAATCGTAGTAGCACTTTGGATAGCTCCTCAGCCCCAACAGATGACTTTGTTAGACGAAGAAATGATGCCGGTGTTTATACTGGAGAATCGCGAAGGTCTAAAGAAATGCATATCCCTAATCCTTACTCAGTTGTTACTGCACCTAAAACTACCAGAGGTATGTCTCATTCACCATTCTTCCTTTTGCACCTCACATCCGTATCACTGTTGGCATAACAAAGTAATTTTTAGGACCACGTTCTTGTCCCGGAGCTCCCATGGATGACCGAAGTTACCGTAATAGCATGAGCCAACGCGGGAAACCTTTCAATGACAGATACTCGACTATGAACAGCTCTTTACGTTATGAAAATGTAGGCAGGAAAAGAAATGAGTAAGCCACTTTGCGATATGTCATTATATATCTTATCTGTTTTCCATTTGCCTTCTAGAATGTATCACCACGAGACCATTCTTGAATACGGAAGTGAAAGCGCAAACTCTAGTCGAGAGAGCCCTCCAGATCGTCAAAGTAGAAAAGAAATGGTAACTTACCTTTTCTGGATCTCTGGATCAGTTACTTTCATCTTTCGTTCATCTTTCGAAGAGCAGTTTTTCTCAAACATTTCAAACTTTTCCATTTCGTTTATCATTCATTTATTACTTTCTGCTCAAATATATCCTTCAGGCAAGACGACAAAACCATCGCTATTATAGCTCAGCTCTTACCGACTCAACGGACGATGATGATGGAGCTAATATGCAGATCGTGCGTAGATACATAATATCTTTGTTCATGCTTTTGTTTTACTCTTTGTTGTCTTACCCTTTATTTTCTGTATTCTAGCTACAACTGGAAGCAAAACTTAAAAGAGCGAAAGAGCTCATACGGTCAACAAGGAGAGATATGACGGAGCGAATTGAGGAATTGCAGGATGAAATTGATCGTAAAAGGTGAGCAGTTGCAATCGGTGCATTTGTTTTGTTCTTTCCCTTCAAATGTTCAAAAACAGTTTTTTTTTTAATATTTGTTGGGAATGTGTATAGCAAATATCTTGACTTCTTGGTTAGAATGTAAAAATCGTTCTTGTAGTCGAGACTACGACACTCTCAAGTGGCACTATAAACAGGCTCGAAAAGCTATAGAAGATGAGCGCAAAATCAATGCTAGACAAAGTAAAAAACTTCAACAAGCACTGGAAGAAGTGGTTGGTATTTTTTTCTTTGAACATGCTCTTTCGTTTCTTTTCACGGCTCTTATGTACTGTTTAGTCACGATTGAAAGCTATGCTTACGGAACACTCGGACGATAATTCGTTCCTGATTCCTTATTGTGGTGGTTTGCCACCAATGGGCTATGATAGCGGTGCTGGTGAAGCGTTATGTTCTCTGGCTGAAGCACAAGGTGAAGGTGTTGGTGATCGCTTATGCTCCCTTGGCGATGTGAATGGTGACAATGTGAGCGAGGGACTATCGTCGCAAACCGAGCACACTACAACACGTGAAAGTACAGCTGAACCCAATAACAAAATGGATAATCCGGATGATATGCAAGACGAGGTTAGCGTTTTGCAGATATCGTTTGCTTTTTTATCATCAGTTGGGGAATATGTTTCACTTTTGCGCCTGCTTTCCATTCATTGAACTAATTTTGGATTTTCTTCGAAAGTGTGTTGCTTTGAGTGGTTCAACATCTCCCACCTGCTTTTTGGTCAAGGGTTTTTTTCATACGTATCCATGTTGCCCTTTTATGAAAGCGAAACTCACTAGAAGTCCCGTTGGTGCTTCATCGCACCATTTGTCGATAAAGTGCTTTTCATTCGAAATGCATATGCTCGACTTTTTCCATTTCACTTCCTACTGTTCTTTTACTACGAATAAGCTACTGGCTACTTGTTTGACATTTTGTGGAGATTTTATTACGCTAACGCATTTGTCCCTTGTCACTTGAGTGGCTAATTTCTTGTTTAGGTTCGAGTGTTTCGTACGGCTGAGTGCGACACACCGCCTCCAGAAAGACCAAGAGCCGCCGGTAGTCCGGTTGAGCCGCTATCTTCTTACATCCCACTGCCTGAGTTTACCCTGAGCAATGGCGTCATTCCTCAACGGTATGAACTTTGTTTACCCAGTCTGCTATTAATCCGTTCTCAATTACTTACTTGTAGATCCCTTTCTGACACCGATATTCGTGCTCTAGTCCTTCAAGAAGAACAAAAAGAAGAAGTGAGAAAAGAGCAGCAACATTTGGTTGAGAATCTGAAATCGCGTTCAAGCAGCATCCGCAAAGATTACGATTATTACGTTAAGGTAAGTGATTATCAGGAACAGTTTCCGTGGAGCTTTGGAATTCTTCACCTTTTCTGTATAGTATATATTTTTTCTTGATTTTTCCTTGCTTCATTATTTACGTTTTCGTAAGCATTACTTTCTCTTATACATCAATTCCTGAACTTCATTTTTCGCTTTTTTGAGATGACTTGGTCTGAAAGTTATGCTTAGGGCTATAATGAGAAGATGGACGAAGAAGGCTCAGTAAGTTCATCTGATGATGAGACTTACCGCATTATTGAAAGACAACTGAAGAAGCGAGGTGAAGTAGTACGATTTCAACCACCAAGAGTGACCGTACAGCCGAGGCACTACAAAAGGTTAATTTATCCATTGGAGGTTGAGCGTACATAAAGTAACTTTTTTATTCAGATTCGGAAAAATGGAGCGTTGCGCTTTAGCAGAGTTCGACTATCTCCAGGATATATCCACCGACGTCAGTGCACTCCAGTCCAGCCCAGAGGCTCATCATAGTATAGCCATTTGAGTGATTTTTTTACCGTTTTTCTATTTTATTTTTAGCAATAATTGTTGTCATTTTGGTATTTTCTAAACTATTGTGTTAATACTTTATGCTATAACAATTGTTGTCATTTTGCAATTCTGCTGCACCAACAATTGTTTGATTGCAGTTTTATTTTTCGTTCCGCATTTACTTGCATTTGATAGCTGTTGAAACAGGGTTATATGTCAAATAACATCATCGCAAATGATCGTCACTTACTCGCAACGTATGACGTCGCAAATGTGCACCGCCTATCTATCAATCGCGTGCTCAATTACGTGCTCTGTATGCTAATGTTTTACCATCTCTCAATGACCCTTGCCTTACTTCGTACCTTGGCCACACACCACTTATCTTTGTAATTTGTCCGCTCTTTAACTGAATAAACATTGTCAGTACCTTGCAAGAAGTGAAACAATAGTTTAAGCTCTCGCTACCTTTCCATAGTCGGGTTTTTAATGTCAAAGAAAGTTATTAGTGCTAGGCATTTTTCCAAATTTACTAAATCGTTCCAACCAGCTGCTCTGCAGTGCACGGATGGAAGTGGATAGAACGCTAATGAATGGTCATGCTAGCACAAGTGCTCCAGTAAAAGATGAGCGCATGGATGATGGAGAATGGAATGGCGACGAAGGTCTAAGCGAATTCTATCGAAATCATCCATGCGCACGCAATGAGCGTAGGTTTCTTCCCACATTCCTTGATGTAGTCAACGTATATCTAGTTTTATGATTATTATGCTTTCTCTGTTTATTTTTTGTGACCTTTTTATGGCTTGGGTGTTTTATCAAGTATCTATTTATCTCACTACATTTTGTTTCAAGTGTTCCGATAATTTAGCTTATCCATCCACTAGTCAAGAAGAATTCATCAGAGAAGAAGATTGTTTCAATCCCGATGACTACGTTGAAGTCAAAATATCGGTAAGATCTCAACTCTCTTTCCTTCCTGTTGCTTCTTCTCGACGTATTTACTTTTCATCCTTGTTGTTCCATTACCCCTGTTGCTTACAGAAAGGTCCCAAAACACCTTTCATACCACCTTCGAAAAGGGACGATGCTCCGCTTGCTTCTATACTGAATCCACAGTTGGATAATATAGATCCAAGGTATTTTCATCCTTCCACTTGAGTCAACTCTATCTACTCTCTCATGCCATTTAAGTTTTCATGCACCTGCTTTAGGCGGTTTTTTACCGACTACGAGCACAATGCGGTAGTTCGGTTCTCCCGCATTTTTGCTGCAAATATCAAATCAACTTCCAAAGCAGAAATATGGTGGCCCTCGAAAACTTTTCATAAAAAGGTCAACGCTGAGGTCTGTTCATATGTCCCATCATGCCTTTTAGATGGTGGGAAAGTCGGAGTGAAGATTTTTTTTGATAAAATATGTCATTCTTGTTCCAGAAGCCGCCTGTCAAAACGGAAAGGAAGAAGTTAGCACTCACTTTTGCTCCGGATCCTCCTGTTGAGATGCTGGCACCAGACGAGGAGGTGCGTTGGAAGCTACGGTTGAGCGGTCGCTATAATGCAACCTCTAGGCTTTGATGCTTTCTTCCAAATCAAAGGTTTCTTCTCAAGCAAGCACATCGCATGCTAATGACAAGCAAGCTGAGGACGCAATGGCTCCATGGAGGGCAGGACCAGCAAAAATATGGTGCGCATATATTTACTAAATTATCATTGTGGAGTGTCTTTTCTTCGTTCTTGTTGCTTCTTTTTACTTGATCTCTTAAAACATTGGTGAGCAATTTTGATAGTGTTTTTGACAGTTCGTATACTCATAGTTCGATCGTATCAACATTCCAACTCCCATACTTCTTTGTCTGTTGCTGTTCATACTCTCCTTACTCATTTTCTTGAATCTAGGTATGATCGTGCTGGGGTACCTTCAACGGCGTCTACCTATGACTACGGTCTGGTCAAAAGGAGAAGGGTGAGTGACTCTCTCATTCGCATTCATGACTATCATCTCATATTTTTTAGGAAGATGCAAGCACTCGAGAGCAAGCGCAAAAACTGCTGCCTGCTGAACTCATCGAGTGGGAAGATGAGATTATGATTGAGAGCGACGATTTTCGGGAGGAAGTGAGCTAACATCTTAGAGATACTGTTTGTTGATCACTGTTAGTTCCTTCTGTAGGTTTTGGACGAGCTGAAGTATGGAGTCGAGCCAGCTTGTGGCTGGGTACCAACTCAGTATACGAGAACCTATGAGCAGTACATGTTGGCAGGTTGGCTCAGTTTGTTCACGATGTTTTTGATGATATAAGCCAATACTGTATTACGCTTCAGTGAAAAATGACGCGTTTGATCTGATGTTTCAACCCGTCCAGAAGGGAATAACGCCGTCACCCATCACGTTAGCACCGCATCCTGGTAGGTTCAAGTCATTTTCCATCAGTTATTATCTATGTTCTTATCGCTTTTTGACTAAAATTCTTTTCTTTTTCGAAGATATTGTCACCGAACCGAGTGCATCGCACTCACTGTTTCCTCACGATTTCGTTAGCCAGCTCGATTATCGGTGGGAGGACGATGTGATTTTGGACCCGAAGCATGTGGATAGGATCACAGGTTTGCTTCGATTTTTCTTTTTTCTACTTTCACTGTAACTGCATGCCATGAATCTCTCCGCCAAACTATGACTTTTGCATGGTATTGAGGTTTTCGGATGACTTGCTTTTTTTCAGTTTTATTTTTCGATTTTGTAGTGTTTACGTCTATCGTTTGGCACCTTTTACTAAGCGCGAGGTATGGAATTTATACGAATGAGGTGCAAATTTCAGAACCAAAGGTACTCTCTTTGGACTACCTGGATGATCCGTTGATTTATGGAATGCCGGATGACCGACGATCAGACGATCCTATGGACGCTCCGACGAATAAGCCGTTTGACCGCAAGGAGCATCAGTTCACGAAGAAGTCGAAGATGATTCTTGGGCAGGTGCAACAACGGCAGAAGCAGGAGGAAGAGGAGCAGGTCAGCCATCAGAAAATGAGTTTTATACTCGATCTTATCTTCATTCCTTATTTTAGATGGAAACTTCTGTTGCGCAAATGACTGACAAAGATCCATTCAACCTCAGTAATGACGATTACTATCTGCCAAAGACTATCAATAAGTATGTTGAGACGTTCATGTATCTGATTACCTTTACATCTTCTCGTCATTCAAGGTCTGGTCCCGCCGGTAACAGTATGCTGATACAGCATTCGATTCCTGCTCAGAACATTCATAGAACGTTCTTCCCTACATTCTTGTTACCGTCGAAGTTGCGGCACTTCCACAGGTACTGACATCTTCCATTTACATGTCCTTTCACAAACCTTGCACTATTTCAGGCAACCTCTCTCTAAGCGTGTTATTCGGCAGTTCAACGGAAGGTGGGTGGAGATCAAGAAGCTGACCAAGTACATAAAAATGAAAGAGGAGGTGAGCTAAGATATTCTTCTTTTTCTATGGCGTTTGTTTTCCATATTTTCTCTCTTACTTTTTCCCTAAACTGCCTATTTTTTTACATTTGAATGACCCACATCATAATAACAGACTTTTAGTTAGATTTTGCTATAGATTTTTGTATTATAGAACTTCACACACCCTAGTTTAAACAACCAGTTTAATCATTTCAACTGCCTCTTGTCTATAATTTTGCTGTTGAAAAATGATCTTTGCAAATTCAAACCAGTACACACATGTACTTTCTAAATTTGCAGCAACGAGAGAAACAACGATGTGCTGAAGGCGGTGGCGATATCTTCTTCATGCGTGATGTAGCAGATCTTAGTGGACGAGATGGTGATCTTGCGTTGTTGGAATACTCCGAGGAACATCCTCCGTTGTTGTGTCAGCCAGGAATGGCATCAAAAATCAAGAACTTTTACAAAAAGGTTGGTTTGTATCTTAGGTGCGTTGCTACTGCTTGGTAATTGTTTCGTTTACAGAAGCCTGGAAAAGATGTCGATCCTGATTTTGAGTATGGTGACATGGCCTACTTGCATACCATTCCCTTTCTTGGACAATTGCAACCGGGTCAAGCAATGCAATCAGTTGAGAACAATCTGTATCGGTAAGATAGACTTTTCAATGGATGAGTTTTACTGCAGCTGTATCATTCTAGTGCTCCCATATATCGACATTCACCTCAACACAACGATTATTTGCTTATTCGAAACCGCAGCGGGTAAGTTATAGCGGATAATTCCTTGTTGTAATGGCTTAGCAGTTCTTTGGCTTCTAGGTGGTTCATTCGGCCTTGCCCTCCTTTGTTTCTTGTGGGCCAGGAATGTCCTCTCTATGAAGTGCCGAGTCCGAATTCCAAGCGAGCTACGATCTTCGTCAGAGATTTTCTTTTGGTAAGCATCAGAGAAATATTTCTATTGTTCGAACTCTTTTGCATGTTTTTAGTATTTTATCTATCAAATGCTTATAATAATTTAACTATGATATCGTAAATCTTGTCGCTTTAGGCGTTCATCTATCGCCTCTTCTGGGCTAGTGAGCATAGACCTCGTCGTTTGAAAATGGATGATATCAAAGCAGCCTTTCCTCACTATGCTGAAAGTAGCGTGCGAAAGCGATTGAAACAATGTTCGGACTTCAAACGATTGGGCACAGGACCGGATCAAAATTACTGGGTATGCTACAACCCTGATTTCCAGAATCATTTCGTTTTGGTTTGCTAGAAATCCATTGCTTCAGGTGTTGCGGCCGGAGTTTCGGCTTCCTAGTAAAGAGGAGGTGTTGGCGATGGTTACCCCTGAAATGTGCTGTGCACAATATAGCATGCTTGCGGCCGAGCAGAGGTTGAAGGTCAGTATATTTTACATTTTATGCCCCATTTTACATATTTTTCTGTATTTATTGTCACATTTTTATTATTTTTTCTTCTATTCTTCACTTTGCCTGTTGGTCCTCCAAGTTAACTTTTGTCTCTTGCAAAAACTCCAATTTGAAAGCACAAAAAAGCAGTTACATATAAACTTTATAAAAGTCAGAGCCATATCAAAACGAGACCATTCTGACCCGATACTCATCACTTTACCCAACATCGTAACCTTTCACCAAGCGTTTCAGGATGCGGGTTATGGTGAAAAATACTTCTTCACTCCTGAAAATGAGGATGATTCTGATGACCAAGTTACCATCGAGGACGAGGTGCGTTTTTGCCGTGGGGATATGTATTTTTTTTTACAAATAGGCAGTTTTAGATAAAATGTGCTCCTTGGAATACTACTCGTGCTTTTCTGTCATCAATGCGGGGAAAATGTCTTTTGGATCAAACGGGCATTGCCGATCCTACTGGTTGTGGCCAAGGTTTCAGTTACGTTCGTGTGTCACAGAAACCGCAAAAGGTCAGTTTTGATTTTTCCCAGATTATTTGGGTCATTGTTTCTTAACATGTCTTTTTTGAAGGACGACACACCAGCAATGCCAAAACGTTTGGTTACGGGTACAAATGCCGATCTCAGGAAATTGCCGCTTAAAGAAGCCAAGGAGATTTGTAGGGATTACGGTGTGCGAGAAGAGGAAGTGAGCTCATCTTATTATTGCTAGTCTTTCCTTTCTTTATTATTTTCTTCATGTAGATAAATGCATTGTCTCGATGGGAGATTATCGATGTTATTCGAACATTATCCACGCAAGCAGCAAAAGCAAAAGCTGACTCTTCTGGGGACCGTAAGTTTATCACTTGAATTTCCTATTTTTTTCACGCATTTTTGATGTACTTAAAAATGTCTTTAGATACGAATGTTTCTGGGATGGCACGATTTGCCAGGGGTAATATCCGTTTCAACTTCGCTGATATGCAGGAAAAGTACAAGAAGCATTGCCAACATATATTCGACTTGCAAAATCAGTATGTAGCAAGGTTACAATTACCAGCATAATACATTTGAATATTATCTTTCCAGAACCCTAGCCAATCCTGAAGCACTCTCAACTGACGAAGGTAGCTCGGGTGAAGATTCTGACAATGAGGAGTTGGCTACAAGGCTGGAAACGATGCTCCAGGCTAACAAAGGTAAACTTTGATACCTAGCAATTCCACTAATGAGGTTCCATCAGAGCTCTTACAGGGAAGAAGCATATTTCTATGTCCGAAAGAGCCAGGATGGAATTCGAAAGCGAAGAGAAAGAGCGACAAGATCTGAAAAGAATGGTTCACGGCGACGCGCCTATCAAGACTGAAAAGGACAAAAAGGAGGCTACTGCTGAAGAGAAGAAGAGTATGTTACTCATAGTTTGCACTGTATTTTTACGAGTATAGACACCGAACGTTTTTGGTTGATTTACATGATGGTTTCTTTCAGAACTTTCCTAGTTGAGAGTTGTTGTTGAGGAAATGTGCCCTTAGCGTTTCTTTTTTGTTCTCTTTGCATTACGTACCGATCATAGTTTGCATTTACATCTCCCAAGTTAATCAGAGAACCAGATCATAATAACTTTTTTCAGATGTTTCAAAAATTGGTGAGGATTTGGCTGCATCTGCATCGAAGATATCTGGTATCACTGCCAACCAGAAGCTAAAAATCTACCGAACAATGAAGAATCCAGATGGAACCGAATCCGTAAGAAAAATCGTCGATTTTAGAAAGTTTTTCTCTTTGACCAAAATGCCGTCTTTCAGACACGTGTTGAAGTAGTGACAAGACCACAGCTCATTGAAGCATACACTAGGATAAGAATGACAAAAGATGAGAACTTCATTGAGGTGTACGCACAGATGGATGAGCAGTTCAAAGAGGTATGGACTTATAAGATAGCTTTGGAAAGGCAACTAGAGCGACGTATTCAGGAGCGAAGGAAGCAGAAGCGACGGCTACAAGATCAGTTGCGGAGAATACGAAGAAACGAAGAGAAAGGAAAGACTGGGCATCAGCAACAGGTATGATTTTGGTCAAGAAACAGTTTTTTTCTTTGAAAAACTCAAGCGATTTGAAAATTTTGGATTTTTTTGTTCATTCAAATATCTTATTTAACCTTATGATCGATATAAGTGGCGGATTTTGTGATTTTTTCCTATAGACCTTTATGTGACGATGTCAAAAGGTGATGGTAATGCCTTTCTCTATTATCATATACAGTGAACCAAATTACTACTACCGCTCTTCGACTTTTATATAGCTTGCGTTTCATTTTCTTATCTGAAAACTGTGAAATTCAGTTGTATTTCCATATGTGAAAGTGTTTCACATCAACTTGTTGGCCTCTAGTGGAAGAAATTTTGTTGCAGCGCGTCGTCGAGAAAAAGCCTGTTCCTATCAAGCCAAACCTGCAAAAAATGCGTTGCTCTGCTTGTCATGGCACTGGTCACATGAAAACTAACAAGAATTGCCCACTCTATGGCAAGGATCCAGCCAAGACACCGCTAAAGGATGCTGGGGTAAGATGACCTGTTTTTTTTTGGAGTTTTCTATATGCACGGTTGATCAATTTAGTCTGGTACGTCGGAAGGTGAAGAAGAGTCCACTTCTCTCACTGGTGAGCTGGTGGCAGTGGAAGGCACAAAAGTGAAGATTAGTCGAAAGGTTATCAACAGTCATGAGGGCAAAAAGAAGAAGCTTAAGTACGTTTTTGAGATTTTTAGTTTTATTCTTTGTTCCTTCATTTTCTTATGGTTCACGCGCTGTTTGTCCAGGAGCTCACTTCCTCGACATTTGGCCGACGAGGCTCGAAAGCGAGGTGACGAATCCATAGGCTCATCTGACGCTGGAGGCGCTTCGCCACCTATGTTGATAAAACAAGAGAAGGAAGGCGAATTTGATAGCGATTACGAACAAAATGTGACACCCGGTTAGTGTAGAGAATACTTTGCAACAATCATAGAAATGCTAAGCTTCTGATTCTTGTAGTTCGGCCGAGACTCAATGCTGGCGCTGGAATCTCATCTTCGAAACGACGTATATCTAGTCTACCAGAAGAGGATTATCTTCAAGGCCCACATAAGAGTGTGCAACGAATTCGCGCTGATCCGAAGGTGAGGTCGCATAAAAACAAAAAACTTCATCAAAGTCACGATATATTGTTTGCTATAGGTCACTATGGGCACATTGCTGACCGAGATTGTGAACGAGTTGAAGACTATCCCCGGATCAGAACATCTCATGTTTGCTGTAAATGCCAAGAAGGTAAGTTGCAGGATTTTCTGGAAAATTTTGAAGCTAAAGCTTTGCCTGTAACTTCTTGAACAAACAAGTGCTCAGTTTTATTATTTTTATTTGTTTTCCTTTTTCCGTTCTATAGTGTAGCCTTTTTGCCTTACAGGTCAAGGATTACTACGACATCATCAAAAATCCAATGGATCTGCAAAAAATCAAGTGTAAAATTGCCGACAACAAATACGAACTTCGTCAGGAGTTTTTATTGGTATCTTAGAATTTCTACAAACTATCGCAGATAACTCACTACTCTTTACAGGATGTGAAACGTATGCTTGATAATTCTCGGCTTTATAACGGTGATAACCATGTGATCACAGATGCTGCAAAAAAGGTACTGTTATAAAAGTTCTTTTCTTTCCTCAGTTACTTTAATTTTCAATTTTCCCAGATGTTTGAACTTGCATCAAAGCGACTTGTGGAGAAAGAACAACAGCTAATGAAACTTGAGAAAGCTATCAACCCTCTTTTGGATGATAATGATCGGGTAAGCTTTGGTTATATGGGAAAGGATTTTAATCTCCATTTGAAAGAAAAACCAATATTTTAGGTTGGATTTGGCTTCGTTCTTGAGAAGATAGTCCAGGCTTGCAAGAATATTCCAAAGTCTGTGCCATTCCATACAAGAGTAGATGCGAAAAAGGTAATTTGTCGTGATTTTTCAACCGTAATTATCGGTTTAGTCAGTTTTTATTGACTTATTTCTTATTTATCGTAAAAATCCTAGAAGAAGAGACATTTTTCTTGAATTTTTGCACTATGAAAAGCCATAAATTTTTTCGAACGTTTTAGGTGCCATTTTACTACCAAAAAATCAGCAGACCCATGGATCTGGGGACAATCGAACAGAACGTCAAAGCCCATCATTATGTCACCGTCGAAGAGTTCAGAAATGATATTCATCAGGTGAGAAAAGCTAGGGTTTTAGTAGGGTCTGAGTTTATCAACGCCTTTGCAGATCATGATCAATTCGGAACAGTACAATGGTCCCGCTGAAAAGTCATCGTATACTGCAAAAGCGACAGAAATTGTTGCACTTGCTGATAAGATGTTGGCTGAGAATTCTGTTCAGGTATTCTAATTTCTCGTATCCTGGCAGTTAGATGCGGTATAAGCCAAGAAGTCAAAAAAGTGCACAAATTATTCTCTGTTTCTAGCTATCCGAGCTAGAAGCTAATATCAATGGATTTGATCTCAATATTGGTGAAGTTGAACCAGAAATCGAGGACGCGATGGCAAATGATGGTGAGATTCTATTAGTTGGTATACATTGCTCAAGAATTCCCATTCAACCAAGGGTTTTTGGTGACAATCCCGAAAATATCGCTGTACTTTCGCTTTCTTTCGCTCTCCAAAATTTTCTCTTTCTTATTTAGCATAGCGATTTTCGCCTAGATTCCAAAAATTAAATTTGACAGCTGTAGAGGTTATCACATGCTGTAGTCATTCAAAATTTTTTTCTTTTGTAATTTAGCGTTCATGAATGTCGAGTATGTTGCAGAAGAGATGTCAGACGCCGAAGAGGGCGGCGTTTTGGTTGATGATCTTGCACTCAGTGGAAACGAGATGGAGGATGAGGAAATGGGTTAGTTAACCTCTTTTCGTGCATCTCTTTCAAGATCTCATGTGTTGAAAATCAGTAAACAGCAGACTACGTTCACAATTGTTGCCTCAAATTTACAACTCTCATCAACATAACAACAACTGGTCACTTACGAACGCTTTCTGGCAAATCTGGATATCGCAGCTTTTTGGATACTATTTTGGGAAAACTTAGTTAAGCCCCGTGGGGGTGTTCAGCATGCTCGATTACACCCCTCTGCCAAATTTCAGCCCCCTAGCTCAAATTTTGCAAAAAATCGATAAAATCGACATCGATCGGTAACGAAAAGTGGACTGTGACACCCGCCGGGGCCCGAAGTGTATGTGTGCCAAGTTTGGTCCGGATCGGTTAAGAAATGGAATTTTCTATTCGGAACATACGGCGGAGCCGGATAAGCCAGCTAGTTCTACATATGAAACCCAATTTTAAGCATTTAACACTGCTTGAGGGAAAAGATAAGGTTTATGAGTTTCTGTGTTTATCAACTTCTACAACTTCCTTACAACGGGCTCACTTTAATGTGGACATTTTGGGTCAGCACATATTACTTTTTTAGACGAATCCGCTTGGACAAGTGAATTGCTGCAATCTCGTATGCATTCATCTGGTCAACTCAATAACGATCTAGCTCTGTCCGATTCGGACGACGAAGAACGAGTCGAAGCGATCAAGAGAGGTGACACTAGCGACAACCTCTTGGATTCCTTCTAATCCCAATGCCTCACCCTCATGTTCTACTGCCAAAGACGTGCAATCATAGATTGCTCTCACATCCCTCTATCCAGCAATCTTTCATTTTCTACCTCAGCCTTAGATTTGCTCATAATAAGAACCTCGTGTAAGAGGGCAAGAAGTTACTGTATATGATCTTTCTGATTGTCTTTTGATTTCTATAATTCCTCAAAATACCTAATTTAGAACTCAAATTTCTAAAGGGTTGTGCATGATGGACTTATTATCCAAATTTTCCCTATACATATATCAATTAGACGCACATATTGTGAATAAGCAGGGCCCTATTTATAGATTGTAGAATGGGGCGTTTGAGGAGCAACTTTATCCCGGTGGGTTCTCCTCAAAATTACTAGTCTCAAATATCCTCTCTTAGGTTTAGTGTGTATTTAAGGTAGTACGTGTGCGTTTTGCTGTTTTCTCTTTTTCTGTCTTTTTTCTCATCTGATCTGCTGAGCATGGTTTTCTTGATGATCATCTCCAAAAATGTATACTTGTTTAAGGGTTCTTATGATGTCGATATCTATGATTTCTGTATTCTTTCTTCTTTGTTTGGCTCTTTCATTTGTATAATTTTTGTTGTTTCCTTGTCGCATTACGGACACACATATACAGAAGACTGAGAGAGTTATAAATTATGATTCTGTTAGATGTTTGCTGCATTTGCAAGGAGAAAAGTGTGAGGAACGAGAGGTTCTGAGAAAATCAGAATTTTTACAAAAATCTGATTGAGAAGAATGCTCATTTCCATGATGTTAAGGGAAAAATCAATCGGTCTGCAGAATGATGTTCTAAATAGATTTCATCAAAAACTTGAAATTGTTGTAAAATTTGAGGAAGCAGACCATCGCCGGGGAAGAGAAGCACCCGAAAAAAGCAGGAGAATTTCGGAAACAGGGAAGGTTTGCGGACAATGAGAAGACAAAAGTTTGTTGAAAAATGAAGAATGGGAAATCACAAAGATCTGCCAAGTCCAAGATTTGGTCAGTGCAGAAAGGTGCCAGGTTCAGTCTCGAACAAGACATCCACTTTACGAGTTCAAGTTTTATCTATACAACTTTACCTGTGATGGCTGGTACCTCAACTTTGAGTAACTAAATCAAAAATTTGATTTTGATCTTATTTTTATCATTATTCAGTGGAATTTGAGATGTTGATTACAAACTAAGGACGAAATCAGGATGAGATTTGGTTGGCTGAATGGTAAATCAGTTGTTTGAGAAGTTAGACATAAAAGGATCGAGTCCAGTATTGTGCAAAGTGTTCAGCAAAATTAGCTTCGCACTGCTAGTGCATTTTTGCCAAAATTTATCAAAACTGTAAAGGAATTTCCCACGCTTTACACGAAAAAGCAAATTGGCTGAAATACGAGAAAGGAAATGTGACGCGCGTTGAAAAAGATAGTGAGGTTGTCCGAGCGGTAGCCCAGGGGTGCAGAAGAAGTAGGGCGGTCAGCGGCAACCGAAGGGGGCAAGGTAGGAAAGCTCCCGGAGCAAGCGGGAGCCATCGGAGAGAGAAGCAGAGCAAGGGGAGGGGGAAAGAGGAGGAAAGAAGAGTAAGCAAACCACAACCACATGGCCATCACAGTGCAACCCCAGAAAACAGTAGAACACCCTGCCCCCGCTCCCCGAGGCCAAAGTAAGTCCCAGCATGCCCTCTCCTTCACCATGAGGTTCTCCTACCTACCCCACGGTATTTCGCCGAAAGAAACTTTATTTTGACGGGAGTACTAACTTGCTCTAGATGGGATCCGAGCCACAACACGTGCCACAACAGCCAATCGCACTATCCCCTCGACCATATGATCACCCATTATTTCCCATTCCATCGCTGGGATATTGGTAGAAAAGCGCTTGCCAAGTCAAAATTTTGCACCTAATTGGGTTCGAACTTTTGACGCATTCGTCAAGGACCGAATCGCTATCATGTGAACCATCCAGCACCACTTTTTAGGCACAATATTAAGCACTATCGATATTGAACACGACTATTAAGAACTGCTTTCACCACCCAGATGATCCTAAATGATTTAGCTTATTATTTATTGATTATGATTTTTTATTTATTTTTTTGATTATTTATTAGTTAGCTTGACATTCTAATTTTTTGTTCATTCTACCAACTATAGCAAAACGGACCTTTTGCAGCATTACTGTAGTAAACAATACTATATTTTAGCACAGTTCACTGCGATTGATGGAGTTCATCAGAGAAACTCCATCAAGTGCTATAATATCCCGCAGAGTCCAACTAGTCTTTTCTGATAATGTTCATTTCCGCATCGCAACTCGCAACTGTTACGGTTTATACCGCAGCGGTGCAAAAAGGTCCACACCAGAATTTTCAATAACACATTCTTTGTCTTAGAAGGCGTTCCAACTAACAATTGTGACAACTTTATTCAAGGAAAAATTATTCAAAAATCGTCTTAATAAAGAATTCTAAACATCGAAGTGTATATACTAAAAATGAGAGGAATGTTAATAAAGTCACTTCCAACTATTTTGTCCGCATCACCTTGTTCTCCGTGCAAGTAAAAGCCGATGCCTTTGAGTTGTTGGCTCTTAGACTAACGCCTATGAGTCGTAGGCTTCGAGCACCTTTGACTGATTCTTTTGATTCTTACAACAAACCGTAGTAATAGATTGAAAAGTCTTGATCTTACTGAAGAAACGCTGAAAAAAAAAGAAAACAAAACAAAAGCCCCTAGTAACGAGCCTATCAATAACTGCAATTTAGAATCTTCAACACCAAAGAAGAAAATTTACAGAAAATAATGAGTCCCTGAAAAGAATTTTTATTCGTGCCAAAGTAAACAAAGAGTTTTACATCTTCTTCCACATCAACAACTGCAACGAACGATACTTTCGTTCCTGTTATATGATAAAGAACGCTAAGATCAGAAAATCGAATAGCGATGCGATTTGGACGTTCGAACTCTAGTAAGGATGATTTTTTGCCTGCGATCAAGAAAAGATAGCGACGCCGTACTTCGTTTATCTTCGAAAACCTGTTCCGCTAAAAAATGAGCCAAGAAAATAAAATATGATCCAGGTATAAATCGCTGAATTTAATTTATATCCGTAAAGATTTTAGAATATGTCTCTAACATGGTAAACAACGGAAAATGATGAATTGAGAACAGAGTGAGACAGAAAAAGTTCTTACAATGATAAATCGTGAAACTATTAGGTTGTAAAGAAAGTTCCCGGGCACTTGCGAAATTTATTTTCAAATCGCTGTAACTTCAAGCAGATTGATTCTTTTCTAAAGCTCCAAACTTCATTGCAATGACAATTTTGTCCACAACATATATTTGTCTTGCTGGCTTCTCAGCACCTCACTGCGGTCCACCAGCATGCGCAGAAGGGAAAAAGGTCGTCGCGAAAAGTGGCCTATTTGCGCAGGATTATCTCATGCAAGATGAGAGCTGGAAAGCTCAGATGTTGTAATTATATAGAGTTCTGCCGAGGCTGTTATGGGGACCATTTATGTTTTTGAAAGACTCCCTGCAAAAAAATTTTCCCCAGAAAGTTTGAAAAATCGACCATTTTTTGCCCCAAAAATGTACCATTTTTCGAGTAAGTTGCTTTGAAGTCTTCTCGTTCTGCACAGGGCTAACCAAAAACTTTGATCACTGCGAATCTTGTTGGGGTAATGCCTTACACTTCTTTTGGACCCATCACCCAGGCGTGGCGATCTCCGCAGAAGCGACGCCAGCTGCGAAAAGAAATGCAGTCAGTTGCAAGTTCGACGGCTTGTAACTTCTGAGCACAGATCGCCAAACTCGAGTGCAGCTGCGGGTCAGTAGTCAACAGTCTTCTCAATCAGATCACCCATGATTTGGACGAAATTCTGTGAACTGCGCAAAAAAATGGCCGCAGAAAGAAAAATTGTGAAATTTTTATGGTCGGAAAGGTTTACTTTTTTGGTGTGCAGATCAGACACGTTTTGGCATCGATAAAAATCAAAAGCGGTTTTGAGAAGTTTAGGCTTCCCTCTACTGAACGGTGTAAAAAACTAGTCGTTGAAGTCCGACCGAGCGCCGAAAAAATGCGTTTGAAAATGAAATTTCCAAAAGTGCCCGGGAACTTTCTTTACAACCTAATATTTTATTGTCCTGTAGAAAGGAGAAGGTTTTGTGAAAAATGGGATAACATTTGTTTTTTCTGATGGTTCTGTCATAATATTCTGATTCTTTAGGTTTACAGGGGTCCATGTTAGTGACCCAATGCTTCAAAGATCTTTATTGTTTGTCAAAAAAGCTTGTGGAATCTAGAAATATCATGAGAAAGAGGTTCATTCTGAAATCTTTGAACAATGAAACCTAAACCTGTGTTTTGCTTGCATCGAAGCAAGAAAAGTTGCAAATTGCTCTCCGGTCTGGATGCACTCTTAATTTCATCGCTTAATTTCAACTCGTTTTCTGTTACTGATGAGGAAAATCTATTACAATTTTGCGATTAAAACCTCGATTTAAAGATGAATCAATTGATCAACTAAATTGTTTGATTATGAAAAACATCTAAATGCAGAAAGTTTACATGACATATCAATGGAAATTTGGTTATAAATTTCGAGGCATTCTCGCATAATTTTTTTTGTCATAAACGCTTTGTTCAAGCAGACGTCACATCTCCTTTCCCTTTTACCTGCGTGATTTTTGAATAGACATTTTCTCATATTCCCTGTTCTAGTTATATTCCCGAATGGTGGAGCAAAATTTTTTTTGTGAGGATAGTCACTCGGATTTATATGGATTAGATAGTCGAAACTCAAGAATGACAAACTGCTACATCGCCTATGTAAAAAATGCAAAACAGTTCAGGAATTCAGCTCCCTTATTTTGCAATTATTAATTACAGGATTTTTCTTGCTCATTTGCACTACTTGCCGCGGACCACACAACAACATAAAAGACTAACCAGGGTCAAGCAAGGGGTGTGGCACACGATCGCTGGTTACGACCCCCTCCCCTGATTGCTGTCTTAATAAGACCCCCCCCCCTGAACTATATACCTAAGATAACATTACCAGAGTTGAGAAAGAGGTCAGGCACAAGTCTTTCGAAAACAACCCCCCCCCCCCACCCATGAAAGCCCTCAAACGACCCCTTCTTCCTCCTCTTAACCTCTGGACCTCAAAGTGTGACATTCTGGAGTACACCAGCTTTTCCTAGAGAGTTTTCAGACTTCTGAGAGCTGTACGCCCGATTTTCTATGACTGCACTTTACAATCACACGTGATTCGACGGCTGATTTTGATCTGAATGGGCATATTGAAAGGGCCATAATTTTCTTATGGGTGGGGCGTTCGGCTCCAAATTTCCAGTGTAGAAAGAAGATATGTGCTCAATACTCATACCAGCAATGAAGGGCTTTCTGGATTTTGAAGGCAAGTTAAGGGGGTGCGGCACACCCCCAGAAGCTGCGGCAGCCGCAGCTTTTGAGGGGGTGTGCCGCACCCCATTAACTATATCAAAAAAACATTTCTAGCGGACAGTATTTATATGAATCGATAGCCTAAACCTTGTAGATTCCAAAGAACTGTTTGAAGCCTGATTCGTCTTCTTAGCTCTGAGTAATATTTGGTGAAAGCACAGCGATCAAAAGCGAAAAGTGGGAAAAACGAGATTTTGGTTGGCTTC